TGCATGAATATTATTCAGATAGGATATGATAGAAAGATTCATGGGCTGAGGATAATATCATATTTCCCAAAGTTAATTGAAGGATATAATCATGATTGACGCAGAACCAGATCAGTATGAGGGAAATGTATCTTTCAGATACGGGTAAGAATTTCCTTGATGGCAGTGATAGTAGAATTTAAATAGCCCTTCCCTTTCTATGCTAGATTCAAATGTTTGGGTATGGATGAAAATGGACCTTTTCTCTTGTCTAACAAATACTATCACTCTTAAATAATTCTCCCTGGAGACCCTCAAACACGAGTGGTCAGGTAATGTGTCACTCAACAAAATTATAGGATACAGGTAGTTTGCAATAAATTAGGTGGGTTAAAAATTCCTTTTTTTTCCCCAATACCTTCAAATCACAAATTTTTATAAGGAAACAAAAAAAATACCAAAAAGTCCCCTGAGACTGTGTAGCCTTTTATAACAACTAGCAGAAATGAACTCACTAGGGAGAAGGTTAATTTCCAAAATGTGCACAATTTTAGTAAAAAAAAAGGATAGATGAGCTTACTTTGAGTGTTAATTTGCTTAGAAAGATGCCTGGGAAAAGCAACAGGAGGAAGGCAATAGAAAGGTTATCTCCCATGTGAGATAGGGTGGGGGGCATGGTTTGTTGTGTTTACGTGCACGTGTTCAAGTATTTTTTGTATAGAAGCAACCAAGGCAGTAACTGTTGTGGTGGTGACCACGTTGCTTCCAATCAGCTGGTGGGTCTGCTGAACGCTCCTCTGGGAGAGCATGAAAAAGAGAGATTGCTCTTGTTAACATGTATGGGATTATGTTGGCTCAAATGTAAAAGAAATGTGTTTTTTTCCTTTCAGAATTAAGCTTGGTGTGCTAAAATAGAATTCTGGGGTAAAGGGAGGTACTACAGCATGTCAGGTACTACATAAGAGGCAAGAAAGGGGAAATGTAAACATATGTATCCCATTTCCTAACTATAGGGAGAACAAAAGCAGGCATTAAAATTTGAAACCATGGTCAAACTCTAGATGAACAATTCAAGAGAGCTGGTTTCCAAATCACCTGCTGCGGGCCATATCCAAGAGGACAGAGAGAAGCCTGACTCATGTTCCAATACAATCTACAGTGGAAGAATCTTCAGTTTTTTTCCATCTGGACCAGTACCTTTCAGCACAATGATGCACAAACATTGCTTTTGTGCTAAACTAATACATAATTTGGACTAAGAAGAGTCACTTAAAAGCCAAGTAAATCTCAAATGTTACGAGCTCTATCACTGCATCAATGTTAAATGGTCTTGTGCCTGAAATGCCTCAGGAGGAGAGATATTTTTTCTTGGCTATAATTTTATCAGAATAAAATTATACACAGTATCTCTTCATAGCTGGGAATAAGCAATTAAATCTCAACCTAATTAACACTGACAACTTTCTCTAGCTATGCAGTTATATTCATCCTAGAAGCAAGCTATTCAGGACTTCTAGAAGAATGCTCTTCTAGGCTGGCTACTTGGTTGCAATTATTTTCTGAAATTAAAGTCAGTGTATACCACCTGACGATCTTGATCCTTAGACCAGGATTTGTTTTCCTTCTTTTCTAAAACTCAGTGTTTATAAGATTGCAAGATCCAGCTTTCAAATTTGGTTAACATTTCACCGTGAAGTGTCTTTACAAAAGGTGTTTGAAATCTTGAGGTAAGTTGTTGATGTGCTTTTTAACATTGGTGTCATCATTAGGAAGAAGCAGCACATCAGCTTCTCCCAAATTAAATAAGGAGACTAGATGTTAACATTTCTCCCTGATACAATGCAAACAGCCTCTGAACCTAGCAGGACACTGCATCATATGTATTTTTAAAAGTGTAATGCACCATGAGATTTCTTAACCAAAATGAATAATGGAAAACAACAACAAGCCTTTTAGTGGTTTAAAATTGAATACTACTCCTATTTGTCTCCTTTAAATGCAAAATAAACACTTAAATGATTGTCACCATTATTCATTTACTGCAAACTTGCCATTTAAAAAAAGGATAGATCACACAGCGTAATTTTCTGTTAAAAACACATCTAAACCTAGATGGGGACATTAGGCATCTGATAAACTGATCTGTATAATGAAATGAGTTCATGGCTTTCTTTGATATTATCCCTGTCTTATCACTTCACAGTGTAAATGAAGCCTTTGAATAGGTGTGGGTTTTCATTTGAATGAAATTAAAATTAATAGACCTGTAAGTATTTGCAATGGAAACACACAACAACAAAGCTTTAATAGAATGGTCAAATACTGTTTTTAAATTCCTGTAGAGTATCACCTGAGGAAATCGAAGTACTCAGAAAACAAAACCAAGGAACTTCAGTCTGTCTCCAACCTATCTCACTTCATATCAAAATAACCTTCAGAAAAGATTTTATACATCAGTGTTGCATTTATAGCAGAAAAAAGTGTAGCCTCACTGTAAAATATAAGAAACAGTTTTCAATTAATTCTATAATGTAAGTTTTACTAAAAAGAGCATAACTTAAGAGCTAAAGGAAAACACACAGTATTGGATTTAGAATACTGTTCAGAACTTAAATTACTTTCTATCCTTTTTTTGTTTAAATAAGTAAATGTATTTTTGTATGCAAAATAAAAATTTATGTACTTATGAGGTAATTTGTCCTTCTTGCTACCGCATTCCTCCCGAAATCAATACATGATCACATTATTTTTTTCAAAACCAGTTTCAATGTGATGTTCCTATCTAATTACAGTTCATGCATTTTTTCTTCTTTGCATGAATACAGGGAAAAACATCTTCCATAAAATACATTTCCTCCTAGCACCTTCTCCAGAAGCTCATTCAGTAGAAACAAAATGTGTGTAATGGTTTTGAAACTACAGCGAGTCCCAAAATACTCTATCACCAAATGAAAGAAAATTATGGTCTTTCTGTGCACTCAGCCTCTTCTGTAAGAATCCATGAACATTGCTACCAACTCAGATAGCAAAGCACATTGTTTTTTAATTTAGTAAAGTTTCTGTAAATTGACAACATTGCAAAAGAAAAGAAATAGCTCTGGGTACCTTGCACAGCAGAACTGTAAGGAAATACAGATCTTCTCGTGTAGCTTATGAGTTTACTTTGGAAAGAATCTTAGCACTTACCCAATCTGTGCAGGAGGAACAAAGCTTTTCTGGACTGGTACCAATTTCTACTAGCTTTTCAACAAATCCCCCACACAGCTCATGTTCCAGCCTTCTCTGAATTTCATTTTGTTAGCTTGCTTTTTTAGCTGACTACATACACTCTCTGAAAATCACAGAATCAGAGAATTGTTAGGGTTGCAAGGGACCTCTGCAGATCATCTGGTCCAACCCCCCTGCCAAGGCAGGGTCACCTAGACCAGGTGACATAGAAACTCATCAAGGTGGGTTTGGAATGTTTTCAAAGAGAGAGACTCCACAATATCCCAGAGCAGCCAGTTCCAGTCTTCTGCCACCCTCAGAGTAAGAAGATCTTCCTCATATTGGGGTGAAACTTCTTGGGTTTTAGTTTGTGGACATTGTCCCTTGTCCTGTCACTGGGCACCACTGAAGAGAGTCTGGCACCCAACTCTGAGATATTTATATGCATTAATAAGGTCCCCTCTCAGTCTTCTTTTCTCCAGACTAAACTGGCCAAGCTCCCACAGTCTCTCCTCATAAAAGAGATGCTCCAGACCCTTTATCATCTTTGTGGCCTCTGCTGGACCCTCTCCAGTATGAGGAGAAATGAGGGTGACTATAAGCATATTCAATAACAGAATCAAACACTCATTTCGTTTTCTGTTATCTACTTACATTTTATTACAGACTAATATGAAACCATCTCATATTCATACTAGAATTATTGTAATTATTTGTGAGCAAACTTAAACCAGTCTTGGATGTTTATATTTATTGCAAGCAGATTCATGTCTCCTGCTTATATATTCTACATAAGGATCCAAACTGTGACTGAATATAAACAAGTTATATTTGGTTGTCTACAGAAATAAAAGTTAAAAATAGCACTGAAAAGAAACTTTACAGTAATGTATTCACACACTGACTCTTCGAATAAAATAAATCAAGTAGTATAGAATAATCTAAACATTAGATTTGAAGGCTGATTTATTTTCAAATAAACGCACCTACAATTGTACAATTAAAAATATGTGTCAGTATTTGGTGCTGATGGCTACAGACATCTTTAATGTTTAATGCACAGATAACTACCCCCAGCCCCCATACAGCAACTTCCGCAGATTCTACTTTACATTAAATCATGAAAGGACATCTAAAATGCAAAGAATATGTCCAAGACAACACAAGTTGAAATCCTGTGAATCTTCATAAGGTAAAAAATTAAAGCTATATAAACTGATTTTTGATTATTCTGCAAAGTAGAATCACATACGTTTTCACTTCTGTAATACTTTCACAAATTTCCATTAAAGCTTTTTTAGCAGAGACAGTAGCATGAGCACAATGACCCCCCTGGCTTCCAAAAGAAAAGTAGTGCAGTTCCTCAATTAAACAATTTTTTCCTTTTATTTTTGCAAGCCAGTTGGGTAAAGACAAACAGGCTAATGCAAGCAAGAAAGTAAACTGTAAGCTTTTACATTAAGTGGCTGAACAAACAATTATTGTACATGGTAAAATGAAAAAGATCTTTTGCCACATGCCACTGCAGGTATACATGAACTTCAGTGGCCGAAAAGCTCGAATACTTTCTAAGTCTTCACATACATTTGGTTAGCGCTTACCAGTTTTCAAGACATTTATAGAAGCAGTTATGGAGACATTATGCTGTTAAAGCTGCAACAATTTAAACAAGGCAAGTTAGAAAGTTATATAGATTTTTAGACTTTTCCTCTTTAATTCTTTTTTTCGTGATACATAAAAATTTGTCTCCTTTCAGTGTCCCATCCATAATAAACACTATAATGCATTTTGTTCTAACTTCTACTTTTTCATCGTTGTATCATCTGATCCATTTACAGTGAAACTCCAAGTTTACACCTGCTGTAGTGGACTAAGTTTGAATGGCAATAGTAACAGGAACTGAAGCAGAAACACATCAAGTGAAGCTGAGTTGATGTTTTATGTTTTTTCCATTAAATGGTCTATTTTAACAAACAGCACCAACCTTTAAAGGGAAAAGTATTGCTAAATCAAAGCGTTCTTTCTCCTCCAAAAAATGTCATCTTTAACTAAAATTTCTTAAGCACGTATATTGGTGTTTAAGCCTGAACAATGTTGTCAATAATTTTGAAGCTCAGGGTTACATGAAGTTTGCAATGAACTGCTTTGTTACTAGGCATAACAGGAATGCAGCATTTCAAAAACATCAAGCAAAAATATCCTTACTTAAGGCTAAAAGATAGAACTCACAAAGTAAAAAAGCAGGAGGCTTTATAGAGTAAAAAAGCTCACTATAATAGAATAGCACTGCAAGTACAGTGCTCTAATCACAGCTACCACAAATCTCAACAAAACATCAATAATTTGGATGAAACTGAGAGAGCAACAGACTTGTACTTCTAATTTGACATTCATTAGAATTTTAACATTCAGCCACAACTCCACTCTAGGCTAAATTTAAGTGGCCAAAACTCATAGGTATAAAAAAAGCCTTCAAAACATATACTTAAAAAAAATAGAAATGGTGTGTTAACAAATGTATGCGTAAAACAGATTTATAAATAGCTACAGTATGAAAAGTATTTCAGTGCAAAGGCAATTTTAAGATTTCTAAAAAATACATTACAAATAATTTGTTAACTACACACAAGAAATTTGTCACTGCTACTGGTATAAAATTTATACCCATATTAACTTTTTAAAAATATATACACCAGTGTTTTATGTAGGGGACGGTTCTAACTGACCAACATTCAAGTCTGCAATGGCAAGTATATGTACACACATCCACACATGTGTATGTATTTCAGAATGCTACTGCTATAAGGACATTCTTTGAAACTTAAAAGTGCTATATGATACAAAACATTTGTCTGTGGTGCTCACCGTTAGACTTTGTAAAATTCTGTTATCTTTGGTATACTGAAGATTTCACAAATCACTTGACAATCTCTGCTTGACCCAGGGCATTTTAATAATAATTCCCTGTTCATTTAATGCGAAAATCACTTGGAATACTGTGAGGAAAATTTCCTAGTAAGTTGGTTTTTCTTTTATTAAAAATTAAATTGGGAAGTAAACTTATTTGTCTAGGTTTTTTTGTTCAAACACAAAAAGGGAAAACATTTTTCTCTGCCACTCTAGTCCATTTTAAAGACAACTAAAAATGTCCTGGCCAGGTCTTCCAATAAAGGCTGCAGGTCTGATTCCAAATATTTTGTTTTCACACTGAAATAAATTTTTAGCTAATGTCCTCACAGAGGTATTGAATGAGGATGGTTATTAACCAGTTCTAACCATCAGGCTGAAACTGACTGAAATCTCATTACTCCTTCAGATATTTCTGCACCCCAAAATAAAACACTGGACTAAAGAAACAAGACAAGGACACTGCTAATAGTTGAATTAGTACAAGGTAAAATAAATGTAGCAGAGAAAACAGAAGTGCAAGTTGGCTGTCATTCTTAAAGTAATTAAAACAGAATCCTTGCAGTCAAACTGGTTTCTATATCCCAACTACAATTCAACTGTTAGTCAACAGCCGTGTGCCACCTTGTGGTTTGTTTGCAAAAGCTAACAGCTGTGTGCTTTGTAATACATCTACCAAGCCATTTAGCCAGTATTTAACCATACAAACATACAAAAAAATCAAAATTAAGAGGATGAATCCAGATAGTAAAAGATGCTCGTTTGGAAAAACAACTTTTCTTCTTTTAAGGAAAAAAACCCAACAAACTGTGTCAAAAAAAAAAGCTTAATACTTTCTGCTATGTATATTTTACAATTACAGGGAGAGGAAGTGGGAACACCAGGTAATCTGCATCTTTGACAAATTCAAAGACCTTTTAGGCAAAATGCTTACATTCAGTTTTTAGGTAGATACCAACAGTGATGATATTTACCAATTGAACAGCCAACTTGACTTCATATAGTGTGTGCATACTCTACACAAGGATTGTCTTGCCTATATTTCTACAGGGGAAAACTAATTGAAAACCAAACATAGCCCTGATTTGGCCACTTACAAGAAAGTGAACATTAGAGAGTGTTTCTTGAAAGCAGATTTGCACAGAGGAAACACCAGTTTGTTCTACAGAAAGAGCAAAGAAAGAAAAAGGACAGAGGAAAATCAGAAACAGCACTTGTTAAATACGCTTTAAGAGACTTTCATTCGAGATAACTGAGGTCATTGCTTCTGGCTGAAAATTAAAACTGTTTATCTCAAAATGTAGGTCACTGACTGAAACTATGCACTTCAAGTAACAAAGAAAATTACTAAAGGTAACAGAAGCAGTAAATGCACGGAAGTCTTGACACAGGATGAAGACAATTTTCAGTGCTACCAGTCTCACAGTACCAGACTGTGCAGATTGTTCATTGCTCCAGTAGTTCAAAACATAAAAAGAGGCCTATTGGCCTGGAAGGGTTCATACTTCTAGCTCTTGATCCTGTTTGTCTGAACACTACCTCAGACAGCAGAAGCCACGTATAATTTAATATATTTCTGTGACATGTTTGTTTCTGAAAAAAGAAATAAACAAAAATACAGTTTTTAAAGGCTTGACTTGGTGTTCTGTCATATAGACGTTTCCAAACCTGACCCACTGTAGTGGTAGCCTGCACGGGAATGGCAATGCTTATTGGAATAGCCAAAGACAGATGGAAGTACTGAATAATCAACGCCTCTCCAGTGCGTAAACATCATTTTTTTAGAATGAGAATTAGACCTTCTTGCTGGGGAATTGCTGCAGTCACTGCTCCTGTATCTTGGGCTTTTCAGACAGGCAAGAGGTGTGAATTCTGAGATGTGCTCCCGACAGTGCCTCGATGCATTCTGTTAAAGGGGCAAAAAGAAACAAATGCACAGTAAATAGACAATCTTGGAACCAAAAGTATATAACTGTGTTCTTTCATAGGGCCATTGTGCCCTTGGTACAATAATGGCTTTCACTAGAAGACCACTGACTATTTGTTTCATGTCAAAGTATAACCTGTCGTGTTGTTTTGCCATCAACCACTTTTAACATCATCAGTTTTATATTCGGACCTACAGAACCAGGCATAATTTTACACTTAACCTCTAAACCTGATAATGGGCTCTTTGGAGAAGAGATGAAGACACAGAGGACTGCTTTCATATCAAAGTGTTTTAAATGAAGTTTATATTTCATTTTGCAATCTCTCCTGGTACATCTTTTTATCTCTGAACTTCTTTAGTCAGGACTTTTTATGAGGAATTTTAAGACAGAACAGATTCGAGTACTTTGCCTATACTTCCAAAGAGAGGGAATTCTTTACAGTGAGTTTGTGCTAACAGACAAAAGTTCCAGAGGTTTAATGCACTTGCTTTGTACTTCTAAGCAGTATTGAATTTTAGACTTGCTTAGGTTACACATAGCATCTATACAGGTAATTTATACTACACAGTCTAATTGTCCATTAAAATTTATCTGTATCACATAATCACTCCACATCTGGCAGAACTGCCACTTCCCCTCAGGAAATGCTCAAGACTACAGTAACACCATGGCTGCATGACAAGAGCCTGGAACACGTGTACGAGCAGAGAGAAAATTAGCACAGCCCTTTGCCCAATGAGTTGATGAAATTCTTCTCACTAAATGCACATAAAATTTCCAGGTATAGAGGTTATGTGATGGTATCTAAGATATAAATGCATTATAAGCACAATTCAAATCAATGTTATCAATCACTCTCTCCCTGAGCGCTATATAAGCCAGTTAATCCTCTATTGTCAATTATCCCCTTCCTTCTTCCCTGTTAACCGGAGCACAGTAGCAAAAGGGACAAAATCACAAAATAAATATTAATTATGTAGTTTATAGAACTTTGGCTGAGATTTCACATTACACTTCAATGCCAATCACAAGCTTGGAACACTGTTGCATAACCAAGAGCAATCAGAAAGCTTTCTTACAACAGACACTCTTGGAAAAGTCACAAAACTAAAATGAACTGCTCACCAACAGTGAGGCCTGGGTTGTTTTAAATACATATGTAGACCAAATATCAGCATTAATACAGAAAAATCAGATTAGCAGATTTTGTTTTGGAAATGTCAGAGGGAGTAGTCATATACTGCTTGGTTACTATCTTTCCTATTCTTTCAGCTAGGAAGTGAAGCATTTTAGTTACCCTACATGGTTCTAAAAAGAAAATGTTTTTTTTTTCTACACATGGCCCCAAGGCAAGCACCACTACCATGTCTGAAGCTCCTCAAGAAAGCTGGGGTTTTCTACTATTACTTGTCTAGCAGTCATTAAAACAAATCAAAAAGCACCCATCAGCTACCTTGAAGTTCTACAGCCCACAGAGTGCATGACATTTGCCCTCTTCACATACTGATACTTTGCATCCTCACTAAATTTCTCATGTGCTGCTTTCAGGGTCAGGAGAGAATGAAGGGAAAGGAACAGACATGGCATCCAGATGGGAATGTATTTGAGTAAAAAGTGGCATGGCAAGGAGATGATGTAAAACTGAGAACTTCATTCTGCTAATGAATGGCCTAATGTTTGGGGAATTTAGAAGCTCACCACTCATGCTGCTGTCTCATATATTTGGCAAAACTCTCTTGATTTGAGGCAGTGATGCAGCAATGCCCTGGTCCATACGGAACACGGTACTATGGTAGACACTGTCAGATGTAGAGCTCCAGCCTTCTGACCCAAGGTCCTTTTCACAAGTAACTCACTGAGATAATCTTCATGTGTTACTGTCTGCATTTGGTCTATATATGTATTCAAGAGCATGAGAGATGATGGATAAACTGGGTGAGAATTACCTCTGACTTTATGTATTCAACACTATTCTTTTATCCCAAGAAAGACAGCAGTTCATATGTGTAATATGAGTACACGCTGCAATAATGACTGCAGTTTTTACAGAAGAAATGTCCCACAATACCTATACATAACACAATGTATTTACAGGACAGGAGTATGGGTAAATTGATTTATTATTTTGCCTTACACAATTAAGTTTCCAAGACAAAAAGATCTTACCTGTGGCATGGAACATCTCTTGCAAAAACTAGGCTCTCCAAGTAAAACATATTGATTTTGTATCAATATTGATCAAGTACATCAAAAACTCTGGAGGAAACAGCTGATTTGTAAATAGCACAGTTAACCAATAGAAATTAATCCAAATTGGCAACACGTACAGTACTGTTACCTAGCTTTGATCTAATTATGGCTCGGAAGCTGAAATATTTCCTTCAAGAAGTGGCCCATCGTTGTTCGTCAGTGCATTTAGGGCTGTTTTTTGTCTCACACTCTTCTGCAAGGATGAGGAAAAACAGTGAAACTCTTGCTGAATACAAGAGGGAAATGTGAATGAATTGTACCATTTGTACGTAACTGTTATAGCAAACTGGAAAAATGATGGATTTTCTGATAGATTTAAAATCAAAAGGTTGTCCAGTGTAAAACAAGGTTTGTACTTCTGGATCCTGAGGTTAATCCTTTGAGCCACCCTGAGGATGTTTTCAATTCCATTTCAAACTCTGTTAAAAATAATTACTCTCTAAAGCACTAAACTGACTACTATGGGCTGTGTGTCCTGCCCTTTTGACAATAACTTGTACTAAAACAGGAGAGGTCCCCGTGATACAGTGAGGCCAAATCAATTCCAAATTAAGGAGCGGACATCCCGCTTCACTACTCCCCAGAACAACTGGCTTGCTGAAGGGAGTGCCACACACCAAGGTGATGGGGCTGGTGCTAATGAAGGCTGACTTCCAGCTTAGTCATTACACTGAGGGAAGAGAGGGCCTGGGGAGTTGCCAAGGAAACTTCTTGCACAGGATTCAAATATTGCAAGTGAGATCCATTGCTTTGTTTTCCCTAGAGGAGGAGCCTGACAAAGGCAGCAGTTTTCTCGTGACCAGTTTTATAAGCTCCCTGTGCAGCTGTTCAACAGCAGCTAAGCCCATTGAGGAACAGAAGAACGATGAGTCTCCAGAGAGGCTTCCCCAGGCAAAAGTACCACTTCGGGTTTTCCCAAGCGCAGCAAGAGGTAGAGATCTCATAATGTAGCTGATGGGCCAAGCTTGTGATTCAGTGAAAGCAAAGTAAAAAGTCATCAAAAAATCATCAGTCAAAAACAAAGAGGAAAAAAAAATATTTCTTAAAAAGGGATGGGAGCACTGAAGTCATTTATGGCTCAGGATCTAAACAGCTGGTATTTCAGCTACAAAATACTTGTGATTGCTGAAACACTGTTAATTGAAGTGACAATTATAAAAATGCAAATAGGATAATTTAAAGTGAATTTATATTTTCCCTAACAGAGAGGTTGAGCTTCTGTATTAATGATAGAAGAAAAAAGAAAAGAAAAATATAATCAATATAGACTGGATATATTAAAAAAATACCCTACTACTTTTCAAAAGTAAAGGCTGAAAGAAGCCTCACAGATGCACAATACCAGTTAAAGCATAAAATTCAGCTTGCTTCATTGAGCCAGAGAGTTGCAGAGACTACATATATGAGAAATAAGCAGAATTTGACTGAAATTACCAAAAGGCAACAGATTCCTCCAAAGCTTTTGCAAAATTAATGTTTTAGCCCAGGAAAGACAACAGTTCATATGTGTGTGTGTGTATATATATATATATCGCTCAATATTAATATGCATGCACATATATATACATACACTTGTATGTACACGTATGTATGTTTATACATATACATATGTCTGTAGGTGTATATGTATATATCCATGTATCACTGAAAAGCTCTCTCAAAAAAAAAAACCCACAGAAACCAACAAAACAACAACAACAAAAAAAACCAGAACCATATCTGTACTGTTTAAAAACATCTGAATGTCAATGATGGTAAACAATCACTCACCACACACCAGAATGACTCTCAAATACATGAAACATTTTGAAGCATAAGAATTGCTCCAAAGGCTTTAAGCATTCTTATTGCCTGAGGAGAACTAATTTACTAGCCTGGGAGGTGGTTGCTAGTCCTATGTTAATTAAAGGTTTTCAACCTTTTTTTTTTTTTTTTTTTACAAAGAAAGCAGTATAACTTATAGGAGTGCAATAAATTTAAAAACAATTGTTCATAAGCTCGGTTCAAACCAATCTTAAGGCACTTAAAAAAGCCAATTTTAGCCAGAATTTTCAATAGTGAAAAAATGGTGTGTATTTTCTCTGTGACTCACATAATTACAGTACATTTTATTGACTATATATTTTCAAAGGGGGAAAAACAGGAAATATGTTTATCTTAGCCAAGTTTTCTTGGAGACTGTAGGGTAAACAAGATTTACTTGCATTTCTTCTACTTTTATGTTATATTAAATAATGTCACATACAGGTCTTCAGCTGTTTTCTTTATAGAAAGAGCACAGAATTTTATAGAAGGGAACATAAGAAAAATTCAGTTTCAAAATGCATGCTAGGAAAAAACTTATTACTAAAAAAGTTGCATTTTCCTTTATCAGGAAAGATACATTAATATATCCCAAAGATTGCTTAAATGGTTTCCAGTACCCCATTTTCTGTATGATGGTAGTAATATCAGCCTAATCAGAATTATCGCTTCTTTGTGTGGCAACTATTCCATTTATTCAGGTACAATGGAAACATTACATGCATTCACCTACAGACAGACCAATGATTAAAATGGGAATATAAAAATCCTGGACTCTTGAGGCAGAAAGGTTCTGTAAAATGCAGTAACAACAGTGACAAAAAATGATAATGACAGAGATGGACTGTGACAACAATTCATAAAATCTTTGAGATAAACAGAAGGAAAAAACTGTACCAAAAAGTAGTCTTCAAAATACAGCTGAGGTGAGTCACAAATGGAGATAATGAGTAAGGTAGATAACTTCTGATGATAAACATTTTACTGTCCTTTGAATGAAATGGCCAAGCATGCAGAAAGGCAGAAAAAAGTCACCTTTTGTTCCATTAGAAACTTAGACTGCTTGAAGTCTGAGAAAGCATAAAGATGGTGGACTGCTCAACAGAAAGGCACTGATGTTTAGTCTGATTTCCCCAGATGTAGGAAGCAACCGTGCACATCATTTATGTTTAAAGCAAGGTAGGAGTTATTTAGACAAAGCGGATCGGAAGACAGGAAGAAAGAAAGAGAGGGAAGAAGAAACACAAGGGATATAACTGGTTAAAAGTCACAGATTTTCTACTAAATATTAAAAAGTGAATATTGCAAGTGTTGAGCCCAAAGTCTGCTTTATAATTGATTCATTTTCCAGCACTAATACACAGTGTCTCTAAGAAACACTGCAATACCTTTGTTAGAGGCTTTTATTCACTAGCCTGTTTCTTTGCCTTAACTCATGCTCATCCTCTCTCTTTAGTCTTCTTTTAAATTAAGCATGCAGAGCCTATACTGAGATTAACTTCTTCCAGAAGTAGCACATAGGGCAAAGATGATGTATCAAAGATCTCAAAATTAAAAACCACTACACACTGATCTGCCTGAGAATGCTTTTCTGCTATTCTTTATTCATTCCTGCCCTCCTGAAGTGAGGCATTATTACACCTTTACATTCAAGGAATACAAAACAGTGGCAAGGGGTTTTACCTTTACCAAAGGGAAATTTTATTTTTCTTGGCAGTAAAGCTCCTCTGTTCCTTTCCTCTTAATGCAAAGCACCTTCTCAAACATCAAAATGCTACCTAATCCCTACAGTTGCCAGTAACTCATTATTTTAACCTACCAATGGCAGCTGATGGACTGAAAAGTGCAAGGGCAGTAACATTAAGGTTCAACACCTCTAGTGTCCTTTACATTCTAACGTATAGATATATGAAAGTTTACTGGGGTTAAAATAGAGGTAACATTTTCTACTGAGGCTGGTTTAATGTCCCCAGCATAGCACCATGCTTCTGACAGAACCTGCCTTCCTCTCCAGCCTCAACAGAGCAGGCCTGTATTTACACAGTGGTTCCTCTTTTTTGGTTGATCAGATGAAAGGAGACAATAAACTTTAAAATCCTCTTCCCACTGGCAGAGCAAGGTACATTTATGTAGAAATAATGGATCAGAACAGGCAAAATGTAAGTTGAAATATAAAAGAGGAACAAACTGTTAATAGGATAAGTTTTAATGCATGTGTAAGGCATCAATCAGTATATTATTAGATATAAGTGCCTTCTATCTACCCTCACAGAGATCCCAATCCCCTTGCCCTTATCTCCTCTAATCAGAAATCATGTTGAGCCATGTACCTGTCTCCCACCATCCTCATCAGCTGATTTTCCTATGGTTGTTCATATGGAGGCACCAACGTTGCCCCAGGATTCAGGTTAATACCACCATGTAAACAACTGGCAGTGTTTTTCATCATACTGCTCAGACACCACAGGTGGGGAACACCTGTTCTAATCTTGTCTCTGACTTTGAAAGAGGACTAACTAGAGACTTGTGATACAAAAAACTAACTTCACAATGAAAAATATTTCTTACCTGGATTCTTTCTGTTGCTGTAGGCCACAACTCTCTGCATAAGACCTTCTTCAAAACATCTGGAAGAAGGCTGACAGTTATGAGCAGAATTATACCCAGCCATGCAGGACCACTAGACAGCATTTGCATGAACACATAATACATCCTCTGATAATTGAGAAAAGGCCTGGTAGGAAAAAACAAATAAATAAAAATTACACTTCAATATACAAAAGAAAGACAGACAATGTTAAATGTAAAAATTATGACAATGCTGAAATTGTTCAGGTTCAGCTTCCCAGTTTGTGGGATTTTATCCATCCCAGTTTTCTCAAAAGGAGAGTTAAACATGCACTGACTGGAAACAACTACCTTCCTCTTTTCTAGGCTGCAGGAATACCATGCCCTCCTCCCCCGCCATATTGTCTCTCCCTTGCAAAGATAAACTAAGTTACATTCTTATTCTGCTTATGCTTTTCCATATACCCTTATCTTGCCCCAGGTATTTTCCACCTTTCTTCTCAGTATCCCATCCACCACTTCCCTCTTTCCTAAGGCACACCTGTCTGTATGTATCTTTAGAGTAAGGCTCATTAATCATACCTATTTTCATACCTCCCAGGCTCCCCTACGCATCTCTGATGGTTTCATGTTATGATCCCTAACCTAGTCACCACATTGTTATCTAATCACACTTTCAATACTTTCATTTGCATACCTCCCTGTATACCATGGCAGTTGGATGGTTATTAATATGCCACCACTACATAGTACTGGGAACCAGGGGCCATGATTACTGGGAGCAAAAATCAAGGGACAGTTTGCAGTAACACAGTGTAAAGCCCTCCTACCACTGGGGCAGTTTCCTGATAGTTTCCAAAATTTGATAGTATTTGCCTACTAAAAAGGTAACCACGCTAAAATACATTGTTGCATGTAAATAGTACACTCTAATAGGCAGCAAGGCTAAGGCTGGCTGAAAAAAGTAGCAGGGAAAAGGTTGCTTCTGCAAATTGTTTTCCTCTTGCTGCTGAAGAAATTAAGACCTGATCTTACTAGGAAAAAAAAAAAGAGGCTGCTGAATATCCAATGAGTTGAGAGGCAGTTGCAAAAGACATGCATTTGCAAAAGACACGCATTTGCAAAAGACACATTGAAATACAAATCCTTTCTCCAAATTAAATGGCATCTTAATCACCATGCAATAGGTAGCCTCTGCCTTCTCTCTAGTCCCTCAAAATGTTATACTTATGTATAAAAAGTGGAACAGCTCCAGCAGACACATTATAAAAGATGGGTCCTTTACAGCTGCGAAATGCAATTTCAGGTTCCTGACAGCAATCAGGCACAGTAAGGAACTGAACTTGTTTCAACTTGATTTCCTTCCCAAAAACTTTCAGTTTCAAGTACACAGAATTTTTAACAGGAAAAAAACCCCAACAGCTATGTACAAGAGTTATACTAATTCCTAAAGAGCTTCTTACCAACAGGAATAAGCAGGTGCTCAGACACCTACAGTAAATCTACTTTGACAAGTTGGAGGCAAATAATGAGCTCAAACACAGGACTCGGGGCCACCCACATCACTTCCATGGGAGTTTCACTCCTGACTCCAGTTTTGACTGCTCCAGCTAGTTCCTTCCAAGACTGGCTGCATAGACATGACCTGTTCTGTGACATTTTGTCTCAGAGAGGCAGTCTTGGTTCCTTGAACCAACTCTTGGATTGCTTTTGACTGACACTACTGAGATAGACCCAGTGGTAGTCTGAGGTCCGATATTCTTCTTGTATTCTTTTTTAAGAAGATTTTAGCAGATATTCAGTGAATGAAGAGCTGAGAACTCTCCAATTAGCACTAATGATGTGATTAAAATGGAGTTCTGCAATGGATAAAGGCTAAATTTAACTCTGTTTCGGACAAAAAGGTGAAATATAACAACTTTATGTTTCTGAAATAACATTTGCAATGCAATTTTGATTAGGGTTCATACCAAATAATTCCTCCCCAGAGCAGAGAAAAGATAATGTAGAATACCAGTGATCCCCAGATCACGAAGTGATTTATCCATGTCCAATAGTGTGTATCTAGTGCAAGCTTAAAAAAAAAAGAAAAAAAAGAGATCATATGGTGTTATCACTATCTAAGAGCAACAGAATACTCAGCAGGAGATAAAATAGAACTGTACTCTTTGAAAATAGGGATGAATTCTACACAGAAGTAGCCAAAAACATTTTTCAGTTTTGAGCACAGTTAAGAAGGCACAGATAGAAAAATCTATATTTAAACTAATACAACAAAGCATGGTCATAGAGAGAAACAGATATAAGTAAGCAGCAATTAGAAAACAAGCTCTAATAAAGTTTCAGTGGATAAAACACAGCACCCCTTACCTTCAATGTAACCGTGAATACAAGCACAGTAAACACCACTGTTCCAAAGGTCCAATTTCCAAACATCTATAAAAAATGGTCCAAAGCAGTTATAGGCAATATTGTCCCCTACTTTGTGAATTGTCCAGAATAAATATCTTAAAGCTATGTATTGCTTTGTATCATGAACTGACACCTAAGCAAAAACACTGAATTCCTACATGACCTATCCAGTGCAAAGTGTTTTGGTTTCTTGCTCTTGTGTGTACACACCTCAGATTTCATACAGACAGAAAAAGACCACAACCAATCCTCTCAACCTGAAGTTCACAGGTATGTTTCTTAATAAAAATTAAGTTAAATCACTGAGATTGACAAATGAACTGCAGTAATTTCATCAATCTTCTTGGACGTCATCTTTTCTCTGATCTCCCTTCTCTGCTGTCCTTGGCATCCAATAATTCTCGTAGGTTGAACAGCATATTAAGCAGATGAGTAACAGTATACAAAAAAATGTCATAACCATCTAAGTACATAAATGTCTACATACATTTAAAGATAAAACACTTTTAAATTGTGTTTGTTTTTTTCCCCACCTGCATAACAAAATAAAAACACTTCAGCTTTTCAGGTGGGCAGAAATGATCATCCGTGCTGATGGAGAGAAGAACTGGTCACAGAGGATTGCTTGGACTGCAGTGGCTATTGGATTACCAGGTTCAGGATCCAGAGAAATGTTGGGAAAGTAAGCAACGGTTAGGGCACTCTCTTTTAGAAGGGACTTTGTTTGATTCAGAGTATTGCACCCATGAAAGAGAAGAGTGCCCAAGAGACCTGAATTATTTTGAAAGAGAACTGCTGAGATCTCATGAATTCCCTTCTGCAGGAAGACATGGAATTTCAGCAGAAGACTCAGTTGGCCAAGTAGGATGTTTCTCAATGAACAAAAAGGCAAAATGGGAGCATACAAGAGATGACAATATGGGCAGGAAGTAAACAGATAGCATAAAAGCATTACTTGGCTATAGAGGGGAAAAAAATCACAGACAAAGATCAGCTCTGACTAGGATTAGTAAGGGGTGTTAAGAGTGACAAAAATGATATTTATAGATATCCTTGTTTCAAAAGGAAAATGAAAGTGGAGTGGTAAGACAACCTAGTGGAAAGTGTAACAGAAAATGCTGAAATATGCAATACTCTGGATAGCAGTTTTCACAACCAAAACCTGCTTCTTGCATTTAACAGCAAAGCTTGGGAAAGAAAGGAGCAGCCAACAGTGTGGAAGCAACAGGTTAAGGAGTTGTTAAGGAGAGAAAACTGAATGCAATGTATCTTGAATTTAGCAAGGCATTTGACACTTGGACAATAAGGAAGCAGGGGTGGGGTAAATGGACTACTACTAGAGTTGAAAATTGGCTGAACCACTGACTCAAGAGTCCTTGATGTTTGACTGGCTGCTGGTAATCAGTGAACCACACTAGAAACAGCTACTGGGGCAGATATTGTGGAACATCCCTGTCAGTGGCCTGGATGGTGACACAGACAACATCATGAGCAAACTACCAATTGATACAAAAATATAGAGCAGCTGACATAATGAATGACAGAGTTTCAATTCAGAGGGACCTCTGCTGATTTGAGAATCATGCCAACAGATATCTTATGAAATTAAATAAGGAAAAGTACAGAGATTTACATCTAAGGAGGAGTAGTGCCATCTATTGGAACTGACTGGCTGAGTAATGGCCCTGCAGAAAAGGAAGTTGCAGTGGGGTTACATGGACTCCAGGCTGAATACAAGCCTATATTGTGCTTGTTCTATACATGAGGGAAACTGCAAATGGAGCTGCACTGGGAGGAACATGGCCACTGAAGAAAGGTTATTATTCTCATCTACTCAGCTACAGTGAGATTGAACCTGGAACACCGTACTCAGTTTTGGGTCCCTCAGTTCAGGAGCAATGTAAAAAAAAAATGGAAAGGATCAAATGGCAAGCAACCAAGGTAGTTAGCAGCCTATGGTTCTTCTGCAAAGAGAGGTTGAAGGACTTATTTAGTCTGGTGGAAAGAAGGTTAAGGAACAACCTAGCAGCTGTCCACAAATATCTGAAGAACTACAGAGCTGAAGAACTGGAACAGACATCTCTTCAGCAACAAGCAATATTCTGCTTGGATACTGTGAGAAACTTCTTCCACCATGAAGGCAGAAAAACACTGGAATAGGTTTTTCTATCCTCGGGGATATCCAAAACTTGAAAAAGACTAGGCAAAGCATTCAGCAACTTGATCTTAATCAGCCCTGCACAAAGCAGGGATTTGAACTGGATCACATCCCATCTAAAGTTTTCTGTATGAGCTTGCCCAGTATTACATCACAGGGGATCTATACAGGCGTGTGATCACCCAAATGTGCTGCTGTGTGACAAATTCTGAATGGAGACCACAGCCAGCAATAAGAGAAATCTGTAGGAAACTAGGCTGAGAATGTGATCAACTGGGAACAGAAAATAAATTTAAAAGTAAAGAAATGACTGGTTGAAAAATTATTTTTCTCAGTAACCATTTCACTATTTTAAAATTATTCTACGTGTGACCAAGTGTATAGACACAAAATGAAATTCAGAAAACTCTCAGCATTTTGACCTTTTACTTAGATATGTAATATAATAATTCTATAGGCTCATGCCATCACTGTAATACTTTCTCTGCCCTAAAAAAATCTGTGCAGTTAAAACTGGCCAGGAATCTGGATCAGGAGCTTCCAATTATGCCATTTATTGACTTTCTTCTTTCAGTTAAATTTTACAATATGCTCATGTCATATCTGGCATCTCTCAGAGAGCCTACTGTCAGCCTAAGTTCCTGCATTTTGAACAGTTTTGTCCACATTTTCAATATAAGCTGCTAGATGAAATAAAAGAGTTGAAATAATCTTTCTCTGTGTTCATTAGGCTAGATAGACAGCATTGGGCTGCAACCAAACCCTTTACCTACCCATCTTACTGGCTCAGAAAGTGAGGTCATAGCACAGAGACACAAGACTCCATAAAGCTGCTGATTTGGCATAGAGAAAGGTAAATGGAACAGTATGGGAAGGTGTGAGTTTCAAAAGCTCACAATGGCTTTTCAGTACTGAATATCTCAAGATAGTACTCATGCCTTTAAGTCTGTTTGTCACCATCTAGTTTATTAACAAGTTTTTTCTATGTCCTACTCCCAGCCTACCCAAGACTTCCCCTCCTCCTTCTGCGACTATATTTGCTGCTCTTCCATGTTCTAATTCAGCATTCTACTCATCTACTTTCCTTCCTGTTGTATTGTATTTGCCATTCTGTTACTCCTTTTAAGTCTCTCTCAACCTAGCTTAACAATTCTACTTAATGTACTCCATATCAAATGTTAAAATTTAAAAAAAAAAAAATTAAACAGGAAATACATTTTATTATATGGTTAAACTAAGATGACACTTGACACTCTGCAATAACTTCTACGGTGCCTTCCTTTCCTCTTACTTTCTTATACAACACAAACCAGGATGTCATATCCAGAGTGGAACACCATACACACAAAGAAACACCAAAAATTAGTAACAATTAATAGGAAATAAATCTCCAGCACCCATTTTAACAATATGGAACCTAACTTGAATCATTTTATAGCATTATTGCATTAGTATTACCATCAGCTTTTTTATCTCCTTTCCTGCTTTCTACCTGTTCCATAATAACCTACTGTTGCAGTAGTAAACCTTTCAAATCTTCAAATCCTTCATTGACTTTTTCCAGAGGTAAGCATAATTTAAATACTGAGAAGTAACCATCAACACCTATTAGCGTTCATGTATGTATGAACTCACATAAGTACCACTATTCCTGAACGCTTAACATTTTCAAGCCTTTCAATTTAAAATTGCAGCAAAATATCTCTAAGTCTTAAAATAAACACAAGTATGCATGCTGAGTAATGATGAATTTTCTAACACACTCCGGACACTCAGGACTCAGAATGCCTCCTCAAGCAACATATTTTATCATCAAATATTAACATGGGTATCTAGTTGTAGATATAAACATTCAAAATTTGAAAATTAGGCATTAGTCTGTCTTCAGAGCCTTAGAATTTGATTGAATGTGTGCAACAGAAGATGACTAAAATTTCAAAAAGGAACACAGTTCAGAATATTTGTAATATAAACTGTTTACAAAATTTGTACAGGTATGATAACTCTAATTTTCAGGACCAAAGATATAAGCTAATGCAGAATTTTGAACATCTAAAAGAGAGCACAGTGGTACCAAGAAAAGCTATACTGCAGTGTACAGGTCTGTCTAATGGAAATACATTCTGTCCTTAGAAAAGCTCAATTAAACAAGAATTCTCTCACACAGTGTAAGTTCATTTCCCTAACAGATGTCACAAAGATGGTTTTTAATAATATCTGAATTTGCATTTCTAGCAAATATTTATGTTGCATGTAAGCAACAAAACTGTGTACAGTTTATTTTCTCTCTCACTTTGAGGGTCTTTTCTAAAGCCATTCGAGCACATTATAGCATCAACTGTAACAAAAATTTCCATAGCAGAGGTAGTCAGCAACAAAATGTAGGTTACAGAAAAGCACACAACAAAATAACAAAATGCAAGGAAGCAAAAAGCCTTTTTAAAGTTCATGGCTCTTTATCATATCTCATATACATCAATATGTTTTATACAAAGTTCCTTTTATTATAAGTACTTCTAAAGTAGCTATAAAGAACAATTCTAACTATAGGTTTAAGTGATATTTTATTGCTCTTTACCAGTTTAATTAAAGAACAGTGAAAGATGAAATGGATATCATGACAAATCCACAATAGTCTTACCATGTGAGTGCTGGTTGTCATTAGCTGAGGATAGGAAGAGAAGCAAGTAGCAAAAAGAAAAAAAGCACACAAATAAAATAGACCAAAATATCAATGGATAAAATAAATAAAATGCAAAAGTTCTTAAGATTTGCATTCATGTGACTGCAAAGCAAGCAGAGATACGTTATTTTAAGCTGCCATATGTCAAAAATAATAAAACTATTAAAAAGCTTGTTATATTTCAGATCTGTTATGACCATTCATAACTACTCTACCAGGAGTCTTTTGACATGTTAAACAGATATTCATCAGATTTATGTTAAGCATGAAACGGAAAAGTCACTATGTAAATTCAGAATGAATACTTGGAATTTATGATACTTATTTCTCCTAAATTGCATCTAGTCCTATGTCTCTGCTTACTGATACACAGGGTGTCCCACTGCACAGTTCAGACTTCATTAAACAGATAACCCATCTATCTCACTGTAACTCATGAAAGTTATCATCTTGCATGAAATATTGAAGAAAACAATTAAAACTATTCATTTCACAGTCAACATTAAAAAAATTATCATTGACTGACTGATCAAATCCAACACTAACCTGTCCATTGCTGGTCACAGCTGTGTTGTCAAACAATAAATAGGCACCAAAGAAAAATACCGCAGCATCAAACACTCCTAGGAATGTCCAATAAATAAATGCACGCCAGCGCAGCAAAGCATTCTTAGCAACATCTCTGTGTAAAATAAGATACATGTATTCATTATCAGAAGGTTTGAAAATCCCAGACAAATGATGTCATTCATATTGTTTTTTGAAGAAAAAACAATTGAGATACTGCATGCAAAAGCACCCCCTTCCCACATGACAACTGTCTACCACTTTACCAGTAAATTTTTCCTGAAAATGTCCTCTTCATTTATTTTCATTTCTTTTTTACTGTTTCAATTGCTGCCTGTAATTCTGCTTATTTCAACTGTATGGTACACTTCCCTGTGCTGCACCTATTTACTTTTCAATCTTTTTACAGAAGGTATCTCTTTTCTATTTGCTGTGCACATGATGATCCACTGTAGATATGAAATTAGAACACTAGAGGTCTCTGGAGACTTTGCATTATTTCCTATTGGGGACTTATATACAGACTATTGCAACAAAACAAAATATTAATTTTATGTGGAACATGCAAAAAGAGCGGTTTGCAGTTGACTTGAAGCTTCAGGTCAAATAGTACTTCTTCAACATTTTCCCATAAAAATACAGGAATTGGTCAACAGTATAACTCTTCACTAGCACGTATTTTCTTACAACAAAAAAATTTACATGTTACAACTTTAGCTCTTGTTCACAGAATGGGTATGTATCAAGTTGGCATACAGAATAAAACACATCAGAGTAAATCAGAACACAGTTAAATGAAGACCCTGAATTACAGAAACATTTTCTACCAACCAATACTTTTACCATACGAACTTTAAAGACTGTCTGATGACCACACGAAGTAACTTCTCCCTGCAGATTAACAATACAGATTGCAAAACCATACATGGCAAACAATAGCCTATCTGGCCTAGAACAACTGTACAATTGCCCAAAACAGTTTAGCAATAGGCTCTGTTAGGTATCAAAATCCAAAAATTCCCGACAAATAACCTCTGCTAGCTTTCAAAAACCAAAAAAAGTCTTCTGATTTACCATTTCTAAACTAAAAATATTTAAAATATAAAAGAGAAAATAAAAATATAGGGATTAAGTTTCAACGGTAATCTCTTGTATTCCTCTTCAATTTCATCAGTAAAAACATATCAGTGCACTGATTAACCTTTGGGCATCTACTATTCTTTCAAAAAATGTTTTTTTCTTTGATTACCTACTGATAACTCTCCCTGAAATGTACTGTGTTTGCAGCTACAAGGATCAAATCTGGGCAATGTCCCTAATTAGATGGCCAAATGCAATTAATTGGCAAGAACTGTATTTTAAGTGGCTAAGAACCTAAACAAGTCACGATTCCAATCCTCAGAAGTGAATCAACAATATGCAGATGACAATGTTGGACACCACACAAAATACATCCTCTGATACAACACTTTACCTCTCAGTCCTCTTTTCTTTCAGAATAAAACATGTATATAGGAAAAAAACCAGTATGCTTTCTTTTTTAAAAATACTTCTTTTCCCCATGGTTTGAGGAAATAAAGAGTACTAAAAAAAATCATAATCTTATTTGTAGAACAGTAATTTCTATTTTGCTCTCACTCACTTATAGAGCAAATGAGTGGTGTGATTTCTAAATATACATGTAAAACTACACTACTGTACTTGGTAGACTATGCATGTGGTCTTCAGCCCTTCTATCGTGGTGTATCTGATGTTCTACCATAGCCTTGTAGCACAGAAATCCTGAGGACTTCTGTTGTAACAGAGATAGATCCCACAACTGAGCAGTCAAACTTTGGGGCACAGTTTTAATTTTACCTGTACAGGGAAGGCTCTCTCTTGAGTGTGTCTGCGCTGACATGTTGTTCCATTAGACCATAGAAGAGGATAGGAAGGGAAGTGAAGCTGATATTGTACAGTGTTAGATACGCAGTATCGTATAAAGTCTGGAGATTAAAAATAAGTAAATCAGGTATCTTAATTTAAAATTAAATCCTCATTTAAAATTAAATCCTCTGCATGACACTTGATTTAAAATTAATGAGTCAATTTTTCAGGAAAACAAAATCATATTCCTTCAGAATGGAGGCAAATATCCCTGAAGAGCTGCTAACTGATATAAGACAACTCTGCACTTGTATCCTGTTCATCTGGAGGACAACGGCTCAGCTAAAAGATCCATTTAGTAGTCTGATTCACATACTGGCCCCCTCTTCTTGTTTCAGCTGTAAGACCAACTCCAAACTACCCAAACTGAAAACCAGCTGATTCTTGTAGAGGAAGAAATTCCTCTCTGGTGCATCCACACACACCCCTTCCCTTTTATCTCCTCTATATAACATGGAGACATGCAGAGAGACAGGGGAAGTACTCCAAAGGTTCTTTAACTGTGGGTGACTGCAATGAGCTACACAAAGAAACATCACAATGTGCCTTTCAGTCTTCTCACTGAACTACTTTTTCACCTATATCACTGTAACTAGCCCTCAAACCAACTACATCACCTCATAAAAAGAGTTGTTTATTTCCCAAAACCTATCTGGCGATCATTTATGCTGGAAAAACTGCTGTCAAAACCCCCTTTTTGATTCAAAATTATATTTAGCACTTAAAAGAATAAAATCAATCTAAATTTTCATCAGCATATGCTTTCATATCTAAATCCTAATGATGCTTGGAAAAAACCTACAAAGTTTTCAGTCGTCATTTGAAATTAAAACCAAAACAGATAAAAAATAGTTCTGTCATTTTTACTCCTCCTGGAGCTTTTTTGTTTGAGATATTTGACAAATTCAAAGCAACAGTACTATTTCTCCCAATTAAATCCTACTCTTGCCCAATTTAATCCTGAAAATATAAACCTTTTTTTTTCTAAATTTGGTCAATCATTCCTTTGCTTTTTGATCCCTCAGAAGAAAGAAGAGGTAGATCTTTTCTGCACAAATTAGATGAGAGCAAGGAGAAGAGAAAATGAACAAAAATTTAGGAAGGAGCATACTGGATCCGATCCTGAATGATGGCACTTTTCTGGTCAGGAGCAGTTCACTTTTCCTCTATTTTTCTGTTTTTATTTTTTCTTTTCAACTAATTGAATGCTGCTATTTGTCTGAAATTTGTAATTTATACTCATATACACCAAAGAAAATGAGTTTATTTCTTCCATTTTCATTCTGGATTCTAAAAATGAACAACTAGTTCAATTACTCATCTTTCAGGATTTCCTCTGCCCATGTCCAATAAGCTTAAACCCATCTGACTCTACATTTCCATAGACATTTCAGTTTGCATTGCCATTTCTAAATTTTGTGTTCCTGTATTCCTTGACTTTGAGAATAACATTGCTTTTATGATAATTCATAAAACTGCTTTCTGTAACTTAACTGCAATTGCCACTAAAAACCATTTGAACCAAAAGTGATGGTCTTTTTAAAATGTGTAAACTAATACAAAAGTTTTCTCAGGAGGATCTGTTTTTTAAAAAAAAAGCAAGAGAAAACATGACGTTGATGGAAAAAGAAAAACTAACCTGTTGTGAAAACCCACAGAAGAACTGATATAAAAACTGAGGAAAAATGAAGCAGACATTCTGAAAGACAAAGTGACAATTGTCAACTGAAATGCAAGCACTAATTTATATGCTGTACAATGCTACAGCTACATATACCATAGTTTTATAACACTAGTAATAGTGAACATTGCAGAACATTAGAAAAAGCTGCAAATATTAAACATCAACAGTCACATCTTGCATTACTAACACTAAGAAAAACACTTAAATATTTTGAAAGCAAACTTATAAGGCTACAGTTTCAAAACTCAAGGGCAATGAAATTTGTGATCCAGGAGCACAGTCCATTAAGCCAAGGCAAATAAGGGACAATTCACAGGAGGACACAAACCATGATAAGCAAGCACAGGCATGGTTTCCAGCAAAGCAACTGAAAGATGTTTCTAGCTGTGACTGCAAACGCCATCCTCTCCTAATTAGACATATAGTCAAACACTAAAACCTTGGATTATCCTCTGGCAGTTCCTTTCTATAATCATCCATTGCTTACTGAAACAACTTCGATTGGATCCCAACATTTAGAGGGGGATGCTCATTATAACCTTCCTCCACCTACACTATCCTAATGAATTTAACATAATTTACATTAGTTTCTAAGTTCTCAAATACTATTTCCAATGTGACTTAAAAGGTCACTGTAGAGACAACCCACAAGGTATTGGAAATAAGTAGAACAGTCTGAGACGAAATTTGTAGGAGATGAAAAAATAGGACAAGGCAAATTTTGGGTTTAAACATAACATAGATTACAGAATGTATCTGTGTAAAAGCTATTTCACTTCATCTTCAGGACAGAAACAATAATCCCATTTCAGCATTTTGTCTGGCACTCAACAAAATCTCTTTATGGAATTATTGCTGTTTTGTACTATTGGCTGGGAAAACTGTATATAGTTAGGTATTACCGTGTAAGTTTTTGAGATTTATGTAATTAGAATAAGCATTCTCCTACCTTATAAAAGAAGTATTGCACAAGTTCAGATATCCTAACATAATAAAAATGCCCATGAACAAGCAACATCTTTTTCAAATGTTTAAATTTAGGTATTGCATAGTCACTGTTTCTTGCTGCTTGACGACCTTCTTTGCCAATGATTCCTTAAAAAAAAAGATGAAGCTATTTAATAACTAAAGGACTATTAAAAAATACAATTATTTGAAAAATTATATAATAATGCTATAACATTGATCTAATGGGAGATCACCACTGTATTTCATACAATTTGTGGGATAAACGCATTGGAAATTGTCTATAAAATGTCTAACCTGATTCTTCAAAACTGCCTGCTTTTAAGAAATAAATGGCTTTTTGTCATTTCACTGAATTAATATTCTAAAAAGTGTGCTTACCTATACCAACATGTGCTTCTAGAATCATACTGACATCGTTTGCTCCATCACCAATTGCTAATGTGATAGGATGCTCCTTTGATAACTTAATCAATTTCACAATCTGGAAAAAAAATAGTGTTAAAACCCTTATCTGTAATGGTTTGCTTATTTTGCATAAGCGTACAATTAAATACAAATTACCAAGAGGGTTATATAAGAAATCACCTGAAGGGAGACAAAAGCAACATTACCCAATGAACTACTATGCATAAAGACCACAGTTTCTTCACATTACAAAGTATTTGTTCCAAACATTTTTCAAATACTTCCAAACTACTTTGAGAGAGATAGGACAGGAGGAAGGAAGAGCAGAATAAAACATGTTGAGACTGCTTAACGCTGTGTAAGTGCATTAATAAATTAAAAGTGTTCCAGAGACAGAGTGTTCAATTTCAAAGAAATCCTGAAATTAAAGACTGAAAAATTCTGCTTTCTTAACTGTGCTGATTTTTTCCTTACTATTTAAGAAAATATAATAGGACTTTCTATATATCTAAACACTATTTACATAAAAACTGTTCTAAAATTTTACTTCAGATCTTTCTATTACAAATGGTCACCTCAGTAAATCTGGTACCGAGTCAGCTGTAACTAAAAAATTTCTACAAACTTCCAGACAGTTCAAGAGCTGGCTAAATACACTTGTTAATGTGATTTAGGGTTACATATGCTGTACCTGAGCACTGTAAACACACGACCATTTAAAGAAAAAAAGAAGTGCATATTCCAATGTTTGTTTCCTTTCAATGTTCTTCAGCTATCTTGAGATGTTTCAGTAATGGAAGGGTATGTTTTTACTTGATATAAACAACAAATGCAACAGTCAGGAAGTACTTAAAAATTATAATGCACACATTTTTTTGTCTGGATTCTTCTTTACTGGCTTTCCACTTATGTGAAAAATAAAGCAAAAAATCACTCTACAGTAATAAATAATGCAGGTTCTTGTAGTATCAACAGATAGTAGAATATTCAAAGCTTGTTAGGTTAAAAAGAGAGCAGTTAGTTAATTTATTAAATATGTTCATTTATCAGCATGTACCAACCATAAAATTTGCACAATACATAAATCAAATTCAGGTGCACAGCTGGGTGCCATTTTAGCATATCATTATCTAAATTGCTTGCCAGTAGAAATTCACTCCCCTCCTTTTCTTTGCCTTCTCCATTTTAGAAGATACAAAAGTGAATGGTAACATCTTAAGTTATTATGATAAGTATACAGAGTATTAACCTTCAATAATTATGTATGTGCACAGCTAATAAGCAATTATGAAAATAAACACAAACCTGTGCTTTTTGCAGAGGTGCCATTCGACAGCATAACACTGCACTGCAATTCCTGCAAATTTCAAGAAAGAGCTCTCTGTAGTTACCAGAGCTCCCATCTTGTCTTGGTTTCATTATTAATGATAATGCTGCTCCATCAATAATTAAACCATAATCTTGCATATCAGTTGAAAGTCTGTTCAGGGATAAAATATAAACTAAGAGTCACTGTAGAATTCTCAGACATGTTTCAAATCTGGCAACAGTTCTTATGTGAAAATGAATTAATGAAAAAATAATGAGTATTCAATACAGCAAAATGAATATACCTCTAAAGGAAATTTCTAAGACCGATATTTACAACATTTGAAAATTCTAGATTATGTTGAAAATATTCAGTGCTTTACCAGTTCAAATACAGAAATCTAATACCTCATTGACTTCACCAGTGAGTATGAGTGTATAATTAATGACCTTTCAGTTTGGTTTGAAAGGGCTCCAAGAACTGCAGTGAGGTAAACCAAGTTGCAGGAATAAAGTTAATTTTGTGGACATTCCATAACACAGAGAAAAAAAGTTAGAGGGAAAGGCCATTATACTCCAAAATCTACTCTGATGAGGAAAACAATATTTTTCTTTTCCTAAGGGTCTACATTAAAGAAGTAAACCATGCTTTGAAGAAAATGCCAGAGAGACCTGTTGGCCTGGATAGATAAGGCTACATTCACAGTATGGATACTTAGCATTCAGTGTGGTGGCTAAGTGTCATACAGGTATAACTTAATTTTAATCTTAAAATATAATAGTTATATATGTTACCTATAATATTACAATATAGTATTATATATATAAAAATCTATTACCAGTATACCTGCTAGAAGTGCAAGCATGGTTGCATGAAGCAGTTTATCCCAATAACATATGCTGAACAATGCAGGAAGATGGTCCACATTACAAGAGCCGTTTTCTGCGGCATCTGAACAAGTTATTTCAGAGCACCCTTGCCTTTGCCTGCACTACACAGCAGCCTCAGGCTTCAGCTCAACAGTGAAGATTGTATAAACATACACTGAGGTTTATTTTTACTCACTTTTCAGTGCTCCAAGGTTATATGACTGTGCATGGGGTTTCAACAAACATGGTTTCACCAGGACCAGTGTTTGTGAGGAAAACACCATATTTATTAACAACAATGTATTTTAGGTGTCTCCATCTTCACTACTGGAACACAAGCTATTTTTGGCAAATAATATAAAGTACCATAAGCTACATTTAATAACAGTTCACAGATATGTTTGGCACTTTGCTACCATTGGTACAAATAGATCAATGCCATTAGTGTACAATGATACCAAAAAGTTAATGATAACTAAAAAGTTACCAAGTTCAGGCAGAATACTGAATGTTTGGCATGTTATCGTGAAATATTTTCAGCCTGAATTTGAATATACAGGCAGAATCCTGCTATTACTATCTTAGTACATTGGCCCCCCAACTCGGGGGGCCAAAGGCAAAAAAATTCTAAAGAGTTTTAACATCTAGAAAACTGGCATTGTACAAAAAGTTAAACAAGCACGTTTAATCATACCTCGTAAGGCCTACGGAATTTCAGCTAAATGTGGTACAGATGACAGAGAAATGTTTATTTAGCTGAACAGACAAATGTTCTTCATTAGACCAATGGGGTTTGAAGTGTAAGGAGAGCTAAGAAAAATGCTCTGGCCCAGAGATTCAAGCTGTAAGGTTAAGAATTATAGAAACTCTCTGCTAAAATAATATCACAAATGCTTGCTAGCTTTTTGCTCCTTTACTACAAACTGATTACAAATGCATATACAATGTGCTTGCTAGCTGGTTCCATATTAAAAAGAAAAGCAAATAAAAATATGCACCATTATGTCTGGAAACCCAGTAACCTCCTAACATCTTAAGATGATAAAAATGCTTTAGAATTCAATTCTTGTTTTTTGGGGGGGGGCAGGGAAAGCAAGCAATGTGTACCAGCTATAAACCTTCAAATAAGCAGCCTAATTTACTGCCTGTATGAGATTTAACTACAGTATACATATTTTTTTTCTTTTTAATGCTATTTTTATCTTATTCCATGTTATGTTTCACTTTTATATACATGATACCTATACTTCTATGAAAATTCAAAATGCACAGAAGTCAATGATTTCTTTACAATTTAGGTAACTTGAAGTATTTTTATGTAGACCAGAAGATTTGGTCCTCATCTGTTCTGTAAATGTAGCATAATCTTCCCTAGAAAGAGTCATATATTGCTGCTCTCTGTGGCCTTGGTCTTATCAAGAAAGTTATATCATGTACTAACTCTGATTACACGAATATATCATATCTACTTCCTTTGTAGAAGTCAGAAACAGTATTTTGCTTTATAACCTCTTCTTTTTTTTCCCCAAGAATAAGCAGTTTTGCAGTGGAAAAATAAGTAATTCCAATACCAGTTGTGATTTTTCTTTAAATAGTTAAAGCAGTAACATAAGTAAGATAAAAAACCATGACTGAAAATTTAAATTTATGTAGAACAAACATACTTAATTGTCATACAATAATTCACACTTTAGCAACAGAAACTGAAACATACTATGTTCTTAATGCAATTGGTCATCATTTCATTGTTTAAGAAATGCACAGCACCACATTCCTGGCTTGAAAATCCAACTTTTTCCTTACCCTGAGAAAGTATCCCTGGTTAAGCTGCCACTGTGTCTTAGGACAGTTTTGCTTAGGTCAAAAAGCACATCGTGTAAACTCTGTTCCTCAATTTTCTTTGTGGTTAGCTCAAGTATTTGTGTATTTCTTCGGAAGAGTTTGCAAGCATAGCAAGTAGCTGCAGCAGTCTCCATTTTGTCTCCTGTTAAAACCCAAACTTTAATTCCCGCTTTCTGGAGTGCTTCAATAGTGTCAGCAGCTTTTTCTTGTAGTCTGTAAAGTCAATTGACAACACATATTGATAGATTGCTTGGAAATGAGAAATTCAGAGGTGCTTACTGAAAGATTCTAAATAAAAAATTTCAATAGAAGTTATCAGATAGAAGAATTTTCCCCAACGTGTGACTCTAAAAATGTCTGGGGACTAGTACGTGTTTTCGAATCTTTTAAAGTTCTAATGATTCTATTTTTCCTTTATTTCCTCAATGCCCATATTGTAGTTCTTTCTTCCAAATCTTTTCCTTATAATTTGATCAGTGAAGTATTACATGAACTGCTTGCAAATGGCTCGAATACACTGATTTTTGTACACCTAACTACTGTTACTAGCTTACTAAATTATAAAGTTACCATGTGTAACTTCAGCAAGCTAAGGGTGTGGAATTGATTCAAATAAAGGGTTTTTCAAATAAGTCTCTAATGCAGAAAAACACTCTTCCATTACTTTGATAACATCACTAAACGTAAGAAACTAAGAAACATGCTAACCGATCTTCAACAGCTGTAGCACCAAGTAAAATTAAATCTCTTTCTATCTTCTCATACACTTCTGCCAATTTCTTGTCCCGATCCTGGAGGGCCAACTTTGCATTCTGAAGCAGCTTCTGTACGTTGCTATATTCTTCAGCTGTGAGCTTTTTATATGCAACGCACAATGTTCGCAATCCCTCCTAAAGAACGCAATCAAAAGAAACAAAATGCATATTATAAAGCTCTTCTTAGACTTGTTGTTTACGCTTGAATATTTCAAAAACAGAAATCATTTTACTACTAACACAGAGTCCCACTAGTCACATTTATAATGAAGTGAATGTAGTACAGACTGCTACAGAACATGGTTCAGCTTGATTCCCAGCTGCCCTGGAAGCAGTTACAACCTGAGGGACAAACCTCAATCCTCCAGAAGAGAAACAGAGCTAAGTGACACAACTGGATGTATTAGATTACCAGGGAAGGGAGAGTCAAGATAAAGGTTTCCTTCTCTATGTGTATAATTAGGCAGGATGAGTCAGAATAAATAACAATAATATAAATAGTAGCTCTGCAGAGTCTGATTTTGATGCTGTGTTGCAGCAGAGGCATGAACAGGGACAAAACGCCACAGACAACACTGAAAGTGAAAATCCAACTGTATCATTTCAGTCAAGTGAAAACTAGAAATTAGCTGCAGGTGTTTCAGACTGCATCAGACTTCTGGACTGTGTGATGAATTAGAAAGGGAGTATATAGACTGTGTGAGGTGGGGAAAAGCTGCTATAACACAGAAAAGTTTTGCCACTTCAAGTATACATTGCCTCTCACATTAGCATTTAACTGGCACTTCATCTTCTTAAACTTTAATCGAGAAGGTATTTCTGTAGTTACTTATTACCAAATCAAGATGGAGAATTATTAAAATAGCTCCCTGCTTCTTGTTATTGATAAGGGCAGGTGGCAGGTGTATTTTTTTTCAGAGGCTTCTGTATGTAGAAGCCAGCCCTATTTCCAATTATCCATGATGAAACAATAGCTGTTGGCCTGACTTTCTTTCTTGACAGACATTGGATGGATAGGATATGTAAACACTTCTTTTAATTTCATTGGCCTTCTTCACTTGTGATTATCATTCAGCTGTTTCATATACTAAAACAAAGCACTTTGAGAGTCTTAAAGTTTCCCTTCAAAACAAAAGCAGGTGACACTGTAGGGGGTTTTTTCACATACCTGTAACAATACTTTTTTTTTCAGTTTGAGTACTGGATGCTAGCAAATGTTATGTTGTTTTTAAGACCAGCAGTCATATTGCATTGCAATGAGTTCTACATATTTTTGGACACAGAAAAATTCAGTATTTCACAACTACCTTTTAGATAAAACCAAGTTCTGAATTTCTTTTAAAGGTGATCGGCCAGTTCACAGCAGATTTTTAGCATGCAAAAATGTAAGATATGAACGATCACTGCACTGTTTCCCCAGAGCTTGTAAAGCAATCAAAGGCAGCAAATCACAGTTGCTAAGGCTGGGGACTGAAACTAGCAATGAGATTTACAGTTTTTCACTTTTCTTTTATTCAAAAGTTCATTCAAACTACCACAATTACGAAAGTGCCATACTAAAAAGCTAATTGATGACCTGAGTTGTGCATATCTAATGCATTCATATTGTACCACAGCTACCATCTGGAAGATAAGATGGAGGACAGATGCAAATAAGGGAGTAACACAGACTGCTACCCACACAGCATGAGTGAACTTTGGCATAGAATAACCTTGGTGCCCGGGGAGACAAATCTCTTAGCAGATAAAGCAGGAAGTAAGAACACTTAATTTCTTTTTGATACGGATATCACGTGAACAGATCAATAAAATGCAATCTTACCACTGCATTGCGTTCTACTCGGGATCGTACTTGTTCAATTTTGCCTTCTTTAACCCTAGGAAATATGGAGGAATCTGCTCCCTTAGAGAACAGAAATATATCACCTAAAAAAAGACAGCATATGGAATTCAGAATGACCAAATATACTTTCTTCAAAAAACATCCAAATTAACACATTTTCAAAATGTTTTCTTTCAACTTTTTAATAACACTTCAACCCATGCTAGTGCATGGTCTATTTTATAAAGAAAGGCACACACACTGTGATTAATGTCTAACTCTTTTATAAACCTGAAACAAATTCAACTGAAACTAAAAATTTAAGAAGAAACAGAATGTGACAGTCCTACCTGTTGAAGATTTAACAATTACACTCATTCGCCGTCTCACAGAATCAAAACTCAAAACCTCCAATAATTCAAACCTGAAACAGAAACGGAATTATTTTTTAAACAACTCTGTTTTTCCTGATCCCTAAACTGATTATTATGACTTCAAGCATTAAAACATGACTTCTAACATGGAAAATTATGTTGAGTACTATGGAATATGAAACTAGTACAGAATGAAACAGCAGGTTACAAATAATAAATAGGGGAGGCCCCCAAGAGTCCCTGCATAGTTAGCAGAGTATCCATGCAGGAAGACCCAGATATACAACAGACCTAACCAGCTGACATCTATAGAAGTGTAAAATAACATTTTCAAAAGTATGTACATCACATGGAACAGCTGTACTACTTAAATGTTATTGAAAATTTCACTCATGTTATGGTCTACAAAATTTATTCTACATGTCAAAGGAAAGCAACAACAACAACAAAAAAGTACCTGTTTTAAATTTCTTTGAACCAGCTATAAAAATTTATTTTACAAATATTACTCTCCTGTAAATTCTACAGATTATTTGTAAACAACAAATTGGGTAAACACCATTTTCTATTAAGAAAATATTTTTTACTATATAAAAAAGGAAAAATACCCACAGTTTCTAAAACTGTTAGGAACTATGAGATTAGCTCATAAACCTCACACCACATCTTTGTTGTCATATCAATATTTTGTATTGCATACAATGTCAAACTACTAGACGAAGTAAAATATAGAACTCTGGGGTTTATTAAAATTATCAATATTTTATTTTTCTATGAAAAGGTAAGGTTTCTGACTTTCCTGATTAAATATTAATGTATAAGGAAATAATGATTTATTAAACACATCAACAAAAGCTCTTCATCAGTCTATTTTGTTATATTTTTAACCACTTACTTTTCTATGTTATTTTCCCGATTTAATATCTCCATAAAATTGTCCTTCAGCCTTAGATAGGTGTACCCAAGTCTGTAAAATGAAACACACATCTAGAGAATGAGTACAACAAATATATAATTATCCAGTTTAAGCATGTCAAAAGGTTTTAAGAACAAGCTTATATTCTGAAAAAAAAACCATAACAAACCAACACCAAAATCCCAAACTGCTTTTAGTTGATTTTAGAATATGAATAATTATGACTGCATGTTAAGAAAATTATCAACTGTAGATTACTTGGTGCTTGTTATTACAATTTTTGTGCTCAAAACAATTTTGAACTTCAGTGATTAAATCCATAGATTAAAAAAGCATAATACCTAATTACACACATACCTCTGTATTCCTTCAACTAAAGCAACTTCATCAGGTGATGACGATATATATATACAAGGTCTTCTTGAGAGTTGGTTTTTCTTCAATCCATCGACACTGTCATCATCTTTTACTTGAACAGTGTGGCAAAGACAAAGAGCTCGGAAAAATAGCTCCTCTCTCTCCTAAAAAATAAAAAAAATGGTTGTCATTATGTGTTATCATTTTTAAGTATTGCTTTGAAAACTTTTCTTTTGGAAGGTGAACTCATTACTGCTGTTCCTTATCAGACAAAGGCAGTGTCACAGGTCACCTTCCCTTTAAGGGGAGCCGAGTCTCTGCCAATGGCAACCACACAGCTGCTTCACAGCTGCCTTCACCACTAGTGTTGCCCTGTGAGTCAAGCTTCTGCTGCCCAAAAGAAGATAGTGTGCAACTTCTGCCTCCTCCAAGCACCACCATGTGGCTCAAAGTGTTTTTCTTTTGCTTAAACTTTAACAACTTATATTAATTAAATACTAGTCAAGGTACAATGTAGAAGTCCTGAGTCCACACAGAAGGATGCAGCACCTGGAGCACAAGTCTTAACAGGGAGTACAGATTTCAGTCTCTTAAGCAGCTTGAACACCTCTCAGAGCTACATAAATTACCTGAGTGCACACATTTTGGCAGCTGGAGCCAAATGCTTTCTAAAAAATTTCAGATTATTTGTTAATGACAGCTTCTTGCATCAGAAAGGTATTTCTATTTCATGGATACCTGGCTGCGTTATACCCTTATTTTTGTATCTGAAACCTATCCTTGTGTGTTGTCACTGTAATTCCAAGATAAAAACACAGCATACTTTGGACCACATTCTGAGGGCTATGGGTGAAGGGTATGGCCAAAATATTGTATGATACTGTACTGATATATATAAAAATATATTTTCCTTTGGCTATGATTATCCTGCCCACTTACACACTGCTCACTTGTTGACATGTGAAGACTCCTTAATTTTCAACTTACTTCTATTTATACAGCAAAAGAGCCACAGTATATACATGCTATGTGCAGCACACTTCAGATGTGGCTATATTAAATGACATTTTAAAGTAATTTAATTTGATCATAAACCATTCTTTGGCCACATCTTCATTCAGTGATGACTAAGTAAGTGCTTGCATTCAGCACTCTTCCCCTTGGAGGAGTTTCCTGCTTTGCTTTCCCCTCTGTGGCTAATGTTAAACAGAAACCAGTTATTACATTTCTTTAGTTATTAACCAGAGGAAGTTCTGTATTTTGGGGTTTTAATTCAGTCTTACATTTGCGGTAAGATGAGAAACTTCCTATTAAGCCTTTACATCTTACTCTAAAACTAGAAAAGGAAAAATGTATGAAATTACCTACTTTGCTTAGTGAAATTAAAGAAAGTTGTATTTCTAATATTCCCTTCATCAGTACAGTTCAATTTTCATGTTTCATTGTGAAAAAACAAGAGCATAGAAAGAGCTATCATACCTTTCCACTTCCTCCCGGAGATGAATCGATCATATCAATGCCTGTACAATCATGGAGAATTTGGCCATTGCAGATAACATGTGGTACATAAACGTGCCCTTCAATACAACATTCTATGAATTCCATGTTGTTCTCAGTTAGCGTTCCTGTTTTATCTGTGAAGACATACTCAATCTGCAAATGAGCACAAATTAAAAACAGCAGGAATATAACCAGAGATTTTCCATCATCTCTTAACAAAACTGAGTTTATTACTGGGTTACATCTTTCTTTCAAGTTCCTTATGCAGGCTTTTTCAGAAAAGGAAGACGACCATTTCTTTTGGCAGTTATCTTCACAGAAATGGAAACAAAATGCACACAAATTTAATTTCCCAGGGATTAGTATTTAATGCACATGCCTCGATTTGCATCAGTTACTGTCAGAACAGTCTTTAGGGTAGTATCAGAATTCCATGCTACAATTATGTTAGCTTAAATGAGGATTCTGAACACATACAGTTATACATATGGGCAACGTTATCACTTTGGAAACACTCATTTTGCCTCAATATTGAAACCCCTAAAAAACCCCCACCTTTAAGTAACAACTTTAAAATAAACTGCACTAGAGACAGTTGGAAAAAAAAATTACCATTCAATGAAATTTACCTGTCCCAATTCTTCATTGAGGTCAGAAGTATTCACCAGTGGTCCTAGACCTGTGTCCTCATCAAACATTTCCTCATCCCATGTAAGGAAATAAGAACCAAGAAATTTCTGCATTTCCACAGTGACATACATGGATACAGGAATAATGTAGTTGAAAAGAACCATGAATGCAAGGAAGTCTGTAAAAGCTCGAAGAAACTGCCAAAGAAACAAGATGAAAATATTGATTTTTCATGTACCATCAAAAACTGAAAAATTACTACATATATTTACATATTATTTTTTTCAAATAACTTTAAAACAGTAAGCAGTGCCCTTCACAGCTCACAGTTCAGCATGGGATGTAGATCTTCATGGTTTATAACATCACAACTAATTTGGTATGAAATAAAAATTTTGATTTTAAATTTGCATTTTTCTTTAGACATACAGGTGTAGAATACAGTTACATAGTATTGTGGCAAAGTTCTAGAGCAACTAATGAGAGTGGTGAAGATGTATTTGAGAACAAGGGAAAAAAACACATGTATGTTCACAGATTACCAGTAGAACTATAGCAACTCTTCCAAGGATTACCAAACTAAATAACTCTCAGGCAGCATTTCATTAACAAATAAAGGGATTCCTTTCCCTCTCTCAGAACAAGTAGAACATGTGCAGACACCCTAGCTCAGTTTTTCAATGGTGGAGCTATAGTCAACCTGCTGAGCATGTTGAAGTAGTGCTACTGGTGGTAATGAGAAATCTAGAAAATGCCTGGCTAGCATGTGCTCATCATGCATTTAGGGTAGGGAAGCAAATTGTCCCCTAGTTTGATTGGGAGGATTTAGTGAAATAATACTGTGCTTTCTGTAGTGCAGGGTTCAGTTCATTACTTTGGATCATGAGTATCCATTCTGGACAACGATCTTGTTCCTGTAAGAACATCAGACACTGGTAACTCTTGATGCTGGCCTCTAGTTCTCATGAGAAAGCTATATGAAACCAAGTTTTTGAGGGATATTTTTATAGAGATTCCCACAGTAGATTCTTTTAAACATGTCTGTTACAGGACTGCCAATAGCTGTGGGACTCCTTCCAGTCTTGTATTTCTCTGCAAGAGGTTAGTCCTTTAGTAATTTCCATAAATGACAGGCAACTCCAAAACACTTTCACGAAGCCTTCTATACTAAGCCAGACATTTTCTCATCAGTTAAATTCACACATACAACTAAAGGGCAAAAATTTAATATACAAGCTTTCTACAAATACACTATCACCATTGTTAGCAAAAAAAGCAAAAATTTATGACTGGTAAGTAAGCAAGCTGTATATACTTTTCAGTAAATACTTATAAATTAGGAGTTTAGAGAAACTTTTTTTGTATTTTAATTTACTTCCATACCAAATTTCTTTTCCTTTCTGGTTCTGTTTTCTGATTATACCATGGCTCATCACGAAATGGTTCACTCTGCCAGACATACTTCAGAACAGTATTTATTAGTGCTTTACTGATGAGAATACAGAGGTATACAATAAGAAATACATTCATTGATCTAAAAAAAAAAAGGGCGAAATAAGAATTCCATTAGCATATAAGCTATAGAGTTTATTAAAAAATGTACTTGTGCTTCAGCCTAACCTTTGTTGCAAGTTTAACAATACTAAGATAGTATATAACTTTTCTACGGTCTTTTTCTAATGAAGAAAAACATTGAGGACTATTTTCTATTTAAAATGTAAACTATTATAATTGTTTCCAAAATGTGTGACACATTACCAAAACTAGCATACTAGTGAAAACAATTGCATAGATAGAGTCATAACAGAATAACTGGGCTTGCCTCTGCAGACCTTTTTATGCCATTTCTCTGAATCAATATAAACTCACTCACATAAGTACTTTTATAGAAATATAAAACCATCAGGAACATTTTGCTTTGTAGCTGTAATGTTTTAATAGACAGATCTAAAAAAAGAACAAGAACATTTTGCATTTAAAATTATACTTTTATTAATGATGGGCCCAACCTAAAAGCCATGTTCACATTAATAACAATAGAAAGAGACACATCGTCATTGCTTAGTCACTGCATAAGAGAAGGGCTGTCAGCTGGTCAGTACATCTTGCCTCAATAAATGACATCTCAGTTTTTACAAGGTTGGACCCCTTACTCAGAGTTGATGAGTTCAGATAGAGTAGGACTAGAAAATAAACTAATGTAAAAACAGTAAGTGCCCACTGTCAGCTCATTCCTTAAGGATAGTAGTGTCTTACTTTCCCATTACACATGCCTATATGGAACTTGTTAATTTTAGCTAAACCATGGAAAACACGCTACAGACAAGCACTGTGTTACTGCAGCTCACCAAAAGTGAAGTGCATCAAAAAAGTTATTATTACTGAATTCAAGACTTAATTGCAATGAAAAGCATTGAATGTTAGCATAATAAAACACTTCATGACTAGTCTTCGCAAACGAAGATTTGGGAATAAAACACACAGCCTTGGAAAACTGTCAGTAGGTGTACTCTAACCAGTGAAAGAAAAGTCTTCTGGTACAGCAAAACGTCATATCTTAAAAAGCTAGGCATTAAATTAAAATGGCTTTATTTGTTAAACATCTAACATTAATAATAATTCAGTCATGAGACACTTTACTTATGTGGTCTTATATGACTGGTATTATAACTAAAAAATATTCAGAAAGAAGCAAAATCATAACTCCTACCTCTTTTTTTTTATTTAAATCAATGAAACATACACTTTTAGGAAAAAAAAAATCCCATTTTCACCACTCAAGCATACAGTTTTCAACCCCCAAAATAAATAATAGAAATTTTACTTTTCTACAGCAGATCGCTTCTGTGATTTTGCCTGGTAATTTAATGCCATCTTAGTTTCCATGCCAGTGTAGATAGCAACACCTGAAATTAGACAACTTGTTTACTAAAGACTGTACAGTACAACAACTTTATAAGAGCACAATTCACTAGATTATAATACTCTGTCATTTCTTTAATTTTCTTTAGTCTGAAGAAAAAGAACAAACATTTGGATGATACCCCAAAATTAGAAATGGCTTTAATATCTTGGTTCTTAGAGGGAAGTTTTAAGCAGCATTTAAATCCCATTCCAGTCACAGTTTTCAACTGCTAAAGTGTTCCTATGCAGCATCAGTACCCCTTATTAAGAAGTTGTAAATTAAGTGACTTAAAAGAAATCATATGCCCAGTAGTAACTGTACGGTTGTAACCTTTTTTCATGTTTGCTTATTAATTTGGTGTCCATTCAAACAGTCAATACAAATATTTACCAAAGATTCTTTCTGTGTTCTTTAAAGTGGCTCCTCTAAGGAGCAGATTTTCAGATCCTAATGGCCTGCAAAACATAAGTATTAGAAAATAAACATTTAGAGAAAAACATCAGACCTTGGTGAAAGTCATGTAAACCAGGAAATTAGTTTTATTCAAATACTTTTATTTTGTTTAACAAACTTAATAGGAATAGGTAATATCTGAAAATTAAAAATAAACAATCAGATGCTTAAAATTAAGCTCATAATTTCACAAGGCAAATCTTGAACCAATGCACCTGAAACCCCTATGTGTAGGGACATAAATAAAGACTCATCATCCTAATTGCACAGTTCTTATTTTTAAAAATACTGATTCAAGTCTGTTTTAGGCTTATATAAACTATAGTGTTCTGTATGTTAGAATTATTTATTAAGGAAAATACACTCTTCCACTTTAAGTATAAATGGCATATAAGGTATCTTTAGATACTTCTTGGAAACATTTCAAAGCATGTCAATGAATATAGGTAAAATAACTTATTGAGGCATAATGTAAGGATACCTATGCAGTTTAAATAATATTTTGGAGCATGATATGTAATAAATAAATCACCATAGGTTTCAAAACCAAGGACTACTTTATAGAAAGACTGCATGAAGAATACAGCAACGAAAAAAAAACATAAGAAGTAAGTCCAGTGTTTTCTTGTGGTATAAAACTAACCCAAAATCACAAATTCTAAACAAACAAGAACTCCAGAGCCATAACTCTGATGTAAAACCTGAAACTAGTTCCAGGAAACTAGTGGAGAGATGTTACATTAATGACACAGATCAATCAACAGTTTTTATAGCAGATTGTGACTGAGGAAGGCACTGAGACAGAACTGAGTAACTCCCCATATGCTGGGATCTAGGGTATCACCCTAGATCAAACAGCTTTCCATCCTATTGCTTTGCCTCTATGTGGCAAGGACCCGAACAAAATCAGGTACAGCAAGTTGGATGTTGCCTTCCTTGCACACACAACACCATGGGCATTTAGACCCTTAGTAAAATTAAACATGATTATTTGATGTGTTCAAACTCTTCAATATCTAAGAAGAAAAATGAGAGAAATAAACCAGTGATACTATTCGTATTGTTTAGTGCACTACCAAGATCTCATGCTAATGAGGCAGTATTGTACAAGTGTTGTCAAGATCCTATCAACATTTATTTAAAAACTATTTACTATTTATTTACAACTATTTACAAACTAAATACATTTCAAATAAAATTGAAGTGAATAAAAACAAAAATATAAAAGCAGAAAAATATGATTGGAAAAGGAAATATTTATGATTTATAAAATAACAGTCTGGAATCTTTTAAGGAAAAATATTCTATCATTAAGACAAGGCAGCACCATGCTGGTGAACCAAAGATAAGTCTCATTATTGATATTTATTCAACTGTGAAAATGTTTAAATATGTAGAAACTCGATTTCCCTACCTTGCAGTAGGCTCATTCCTATCATGGTAAACATTTATTCGACCAACAAATCTGAAAGGGAAACATACAAGTATTTTAACAGCACTGCTAATAGATTGAGAAATATTTTCTAGAAAGTATTTAACGAAGTCAGTGTAAATTTTGCATATAAAAAAACATACCAGATTATAAAATTAGGGATAAATCTTCTAAGGAGACCCATGAGCAAGAAATAGCAAGAAGGCTTATTCCCTAAACTGCCTGAGATAAGTCAGCATAATTACTATCCTTTACAACATCTAAAGCCTACAACTGAATTAACACCAAAGCAAACCAAAGCATAGAGCCAGTAAGTAATTTTCCCTCTGAATATCTCTAAGTACATCTTAGAGATGTACATGCAGTGGGTTGACACTGGATAGCTGCTAAGCACCCATTAGCCTCTCACTCATTCCCACTCCAGCAGGATAGGGAAGAGAATTGGAAGAGCAAAAGGAAGACCATAACAGTTTATTAAGTGAAGGGAAGAAACCAAGTGATACAAGGGCAACCACTCACCACCTCCCATCAGCATGCCCATTTTCAGCCAGTCACCAACAACAGCTACTTTGGAGACTATCCCACCCCAGTTTTCTTGCCACAGAATATCCCTTTGGTAAACTGAGGTCAGCCATCCATCCCCAGCCTCTTGCCCACACCCAGCCTATTTGCTGGAAAGGCAAAGCCAGGAACAAAAAGTTTGACACTCTGCAGGAATTTGTCAGCAATAGCTAATACTCTGGTGTGCTATTAACACTGTTTTATTTAGAAAAACTGATTCAAAGAAAACTGACGCCATTCTAGCCAGATTCAGTACACTGTATTTACACTGTCTCTCAAATCAAAGGGGATTAAGACCAACATTAGTGTTTTGATTGGTGGAGGAAAACTGTGGTGAGCTGGTGGACCTGTTACCCTGAAAGGGAACCTCTGAGGTTCGCTGGATTGGTAACCTGTCTGCTCAGAGATCATACAACACATTAGGGCCACATCTAAAGACAATGTACGGCTGTTATGACACATCATACTATGTGCCTTTGGAAAGAAAGATTCACTGCTGTGATTTGTTGAGAGAGAAAGTGTCAAGTAAAAATCAGCAGAGATTCAAGCTTTCTACCAACAAGCATTTTCATTATTCATTTGTCAACAGCTGTTGGAACAAATTCCACCATCTAAGATAGCACAAGCTTCAACTTTCAATGATTTGCTTTGTATTTAAATAAGGACTAAGCCTTTGATGGACTTGATTTTCTAAAGAATCTATTACCATGCAGATTTTTAGACCAGTTTCTTGGTCACTGAGATCAGGGAAAAGAGGTACCTTCACACCTCAGAAACAAGAAATGTTTTCTCTGCATCTTCCAACAACATTTGTCAAAAGAGTACATTTTTGTTTGTGACCATATTGCTTTCTGTGTATTATTTCAGCTATTTTTAATGTGGCAGAAAAACCAAGCGAAATTTTGTACACTACTTTTGTAAAATATTTAGTATTGCATGACTTTAAACAACTGCAGAAGTTTTTCTTCATGTTCTGCATGTTTAGTTTTTAAGTGTCCTGCTAATCATGATGGCTTCATGCTATAATTAGTTAATATAATTAGCTAATATCTCAAAGCACATGATCTGAGGTTAACAACAGTAGATGTAAATCCGTATTCCAAATAGTCTTGACTATTTAAATTTTTTCTGGCCAACTTCTTGACAAATTTGATTAAATTAACAGTAGCTTAATCAGCCACATTACAAGGTAAAGTTCTCATATCAGGAGTAGAAGTGTTTGCCATTTTCTTGTTATTCATTTGTGCTCAAATGTTATTATTTTCATTCTGTAGTTTCTTAACAAGAATCTTTTTAAGTCACTTAAGCATTTTGTGAGTGTTACTTTAGTTAAAACTAGATAATATAATCTGTAAATCCACCTAACTGGGCACACATAAACTACAATACTTTGCAATATGCTGAAAGCAAAGGAATGAGTGATGGTGCCATAAGCAGCCTCTCCGCATTGTACAACACCCCCTCTTTCCCTGGAGGCTCCTTGAGAACTGCCTGTGGCATAGGGCTCTCTCACATACAGATTGAGTAAGGGTGCCAACATCAAGAACTACATTAACTATTAGTAAAGCTTAATTTCTTTTCTATTTTCAGATTAAAAAGGAATTGATGTTCTAAAATTTTCATCACCCTCCCCAGTGGATTGCTTTGTGCGATCTCTGGAGACCACTACCCGTCGGCACACCTGAGGGTGAATGACCTCCAGAAAAGGAGTATGGATGAAAGACTAACCTGACTTCCAGTTCACTCTGGGGTTCCCTCCAACCTGACAGATGCAGACAGCATCTTTTCATTATGATATTTTTTATAATTTATTTCTAGGGTACCTTAAATGAAACAGGTAAAAATTATTTTCTTACTTATAAAGGTCAGGCTGAGGTTGTTCACATTCAATGGTAGCATGTAGTGCATCGATTTCTTGTTCATTGTGAAATGCCTTTGTATCTTGAACAGCATAGTAAGTCTGGAGCGAATAAAATGGTGTAAAATAAATAAAAAAGGACAGATATACAAGACAGTAATTTGCACATGTACTTCAGATTGGCATGAAATACATTTACTCACTTTTACATAAGAGCTCATAGTTCAAATAAGATGCAGCGTTAAATGCTCCTACTTGGGCATCATCTTACATGGTCTTTTCCAACCTTAATGATTCTATGATTATGTGCCAGTACCTTGCAGTGTACTCACAAATCAAGTCATGGTGAAAGCATTTAAGTACAAAAAAGTTAGTGCACTATCTCTGAACCCTGCATTCCCAGATTGGACACAGACAAAATCACAAATAAATATGTTTTAAAACTTTTCATACAATAATGTTACTTTTAGAGAAATGAGATCAACTGGTAGAAATACAGATTATGCAAACTAGTGTATCTGCTCACATACATAAGCACAAAATCATATTGTGATCTGTGTAAAAAACTAAAAGCAAACTTTGCCTTAACAAGAAAATGTAGAACATTTAATTACTTTATGACTGGATTCACCATCCAAACTAGTTGTTGTAACAAAACATGTTCCATCTCCTCTACTGCTTGATAGAAATATTAAATCACATGGGAATGTTTCATCTTCTTTTACCATTACAATATCTCCAACCTAAGGAAAAAAACATAAGAAAATAAAATGCATTTATATAGCAGCCCAAATTTCAGATTTCAAAACTAAAACCTAGATTCACACAAATATTTTGAAAATTCACTAACTTTCATTTACACTAGGATTTTGCCAGAGAGCAAAGAACTATAGAAAAATCTCTGAAAAACAGAATTATACCTTGTGGAATGACTGAAGTCTACCTCTCCTCTCAGGATTGACCATTTTGCAAGTACTGTCTTATTAAGTTTTGCAACATTGTTTGAGAGATGGAAGACATTATCCCTGCTTCAAGACTGAATACAACAAAACACTGTTTCAAAACCAGCTGGAGACATGAGTTACTCTCATTGGTTCTTGAGGATAAGCATCTAGTTCCAAATATTACAGTGAGATAGAAAAAGCTAAGAATTCCAAGTCTGCCAATGAACACAGGGTACATTTTTAGAATTTGTGACTAGAATTTGTCCATCCTGTTTTTATTTGCGTTTACAGATGAGCAAATGAATTTTTATTCATGCAGACATAGGCAGTATTTTGCAGCATGTTAAAGTATCACAGAACAGCCAACCAACTACAAATTCAAAATATTCCTGCAAATCAGTCATTTGAGAAAAAAGGCATTTGCTACATTTTTGGAGGTTACCTTTTACAAATAATTATAAACAAATTAACAAGTTGCAAAGACATACTCCATATCTTAAGAACATCAGAGTTTCAATAAAAATACCATCAAAAATATGTAATTCTTGCAATGTTTCATGTAGGTCAACATCTGTTCAATATACTTTTATGTCATAATTCATCATAATAAGACTCAGCTTAATCATTGTTCTTGTCATGTGCTTATGAAGCTAAATTCCAATACCCTCAGCAGCTGGCAGGAGTCAGTTAATTCTAGTTAAGCAAAATAGCCTGACAAAAATCAGCAACATTAACATCTTAAAATAAAATTTTAGAATTATGATAATAAATTAGATTTATCTATTTGTAGATATGCAAAAGGCTTTTCTTTTCTTTTCTTAACCAATAGTGATGAAAAGTCTCAGATTGTACACCTGGCAGGGGAGAACACAAGCTATTAAGCATACTTGCAACTATCAGGTATGAAATTCTCTTTTTCCTTAACCCAAAACAAATAAAAGTACTAGCACATAGCAACTTCTTAATAAAATACAAAAGGTGTTCCAGCAACATTTGTCACTATGTCAGCTAAAGATGCAAAGAGAGCAGAGACAGGTTCTTTTCAGTGGTGCCAGTCACAGGACCAGAGGCAATGGGCACAAACTGAAACATGGGAGGAATCCATCTCTTTTTCACTGTGCACTGGAATAGCCTGCCCAAGGAGGTGTTGGAGTCTCGTTCCTTGGAGATATTTAAAACCTGTCTAGTACATGGTCCTGAGCAAACAGCTCTTGGTGGCCCTGCTTGAGCTGGGGTGTTTGATCAGACAACCTCCAGAGACACCTGCCAACCTCAACCGTTCTCTGTTGCTGTGAAAAAGAAACCTCCTCTTTTAGCAAATCTTTTTCCTCTCTTTAATAGAATATCAAAAGGCTTTAGGTGCAGAAAGGTCTACCTTTATACAATCTAGTTTGTTTTCTCATGTTATACAGATCAGAGAATTTTACCCATATTTACCCATATATACAGATATCCCTTTCCAAGCAAATATTTCCTATATCTGTCTCTCCTATCATTTACTTGCTCAATACACAGTCTCTGAAAAGCAAGGAATAGGGGAGAAATTAAGAAAACATAGGCAACAGATTAACTAATTGAATTCAAACCTCAGTTATGCAGTATTTTTTTTGTTTGGAATATTTAATGGGTTAGTTACACACACTAAATCCCAGCATGTGACATCTTAATCTGAGAAGCCCTAGACAGAAGCTATTACACTCAAAGAGAAGGTCACAGCAGAGAGGCTGTGAACACTGTTGATGCCTTTATGCCCAAACACAGCAGAGCAGAAAAAGATACCGCAAATAAACATATTAAAAATAAGAAAATTTCAAGCACATATCTATCAAATTTTCTGAGTTCTAAAGAAAATGATGATAAAAAGTTAATCTGCTCATGAAAAGGGGGAAAAAAAAGACAGCAAAAATTAATTTCTGAAAATAACCCTCAAAATCTCAAGAAGGGAATGTAGCAACATTCAGAAGGTCAATGAAGAGACTGTGGTTTGCTGGGTAATGAAGAAAGCATTCAGAATGTGTTGTGCATATACGTATGCATATATCTGTATATATAGCATTGACTGTCACAATCATAATTAATAAATTATTAATGTGCATGATAGTAATTATGCCTCATCCCTGGGAGTGTTCAAGATCAGTTTGGATGAGGCTCCGAACAACCTGGTTTAGTGGAAGGTGTCCCTGCTCATGGTAGAGGGATTGGAACTGGATGATCTTTAAAGTCCCTTCCAACCCAAGCCATTCTATAATTCAATAATAATTGCAGATGACAGAAATGGAGTAAAGATAAATAATGAGATTAATTTCAAGTTAAAAACTAGAAAACGATAGGAACATTTATCAAAGGAGTTTAACTAGGCAAAGAAAGCAGAAACTTAACTAATTTATAAAAATACTTTATTCAAAGGCATTAAATTAAAAATTAGTATATTGTAGGTCTAATCTCCATAAAACACAATAAATGCTATATCATCACACTACATTTCTGTACAATTTACTTTACATGTAAAGTGTGTAAAGCCTGACTCCCAAAACCTGTTAGATCATAGTTACTTACTCTTAATTTTCGGCTTTGCTTTCTAACCAGTTTACCATGTTGAATGAAATGAACAGGGTATTGATTTATTGCATTGTCAGCTTTATGTCGCAGCCAATCTTCGTAACCCTAGAAAAGAGTGAAATGGAATGATGCAGTGGTGTACATTTGGCTACAAAGACACAGAATAGCTCTAGCTTGCAAGAAAAATCTTAAAAATTATCCTTGATCAAGATAAGGAAAAAATATTCTCAGTAGAACAAATGGAATTGTGATACATATCAGTACTACAGTCATGCTGGACATCTATGAAAAAGAGCATTCACAATTACCACTGGTCAACAACATTATGTACTTTAATGAGGACATTTTGATGAATAGGGATGTTTCCAATGTGCAGAACAGTTTTATGATATTTAAGTGATCATCTCTTGCTCATGCTCTATTGTCCCTTGAGTAAGTGCAAAGTACTTATAAAAGCAGTTGCCAAGTAGATAGAAGTGTACAAAATAGATCTGGAAAGACTGGGACTTTATCCTGCAAGATGATAAAGAGATGACCTGACTAGAGGTGGTCATACTTCCCAACTGTCATACAATTAAGCCAAAACTTTTAACGTTATATACAGTATATATAGTTGGGAAGAATTTTTCAAAAGACTGTGCAGTAAAACCTATTTTTATTTTCAATTATCCTATGAATTTGTGTTTCATACAAACAGACAAACTAAATAAAGGACAGGGAATCTGGAACTTTCCATTGAAAAGGTGATGCCATATGATAAAGATTGGGACTGACAAAGTCACCAGTGGTTAAGAGATGGAAAATACCACTTGTAGTCCGTAACATTTTTACATCTAATTCACTTGAGCACATTTGAAAATTCAACATAGAACAAAAGTATCACTTCCTTAAATACTCCCAGAGATAATCTGGGAACTCATAAGAGACTTTAAACTTTAGTGTATTATACTCCCAGGGGTTGGAACAGCTCCTCAAACAGGTCCCAAAATCTACACCAGTCACTGGGAGAAAGACCCAAGGAGATAGACAGAACTGTAGTAGTGGCACAGCATGTCATAACCTGGGCTTTGGTAGGTCATTACTAACAGTAACACTTTAAAATTAACCATTTCAAATCTTAATAGTTGAAAAGCCACACTAAAATAGTAGTTCTTGCATGTATCACAACTTGTGCTCAACAAGAAGAGCTGAATTCAACCACAGAATATACTCAATTATGTATAGTTAGCACTGTAAAGAAACAGAATCACAACTTGCCACAGCTTCTTTGAAAACTCATGAAGTCTGCATTTGGCATTAAGATTGCAAAGATAATTGGTTATCTATTAAGGAACAGTCAAAATTATCCTCTGTTTTGGGTCTGTCTAGAGTGGATCTTCACAGCAGCCCATATGCTGCTATTTTTTGTACTTGGGGGTAAACCAGTGTTGGTTACACCCCAGTGTTTTGCCTACTGCTGAACAGTGCCTGCACAGGATGAAGGCTTTCTCTTAAACTTTCCCCCGCACCAGACCAGCAGGTTGGGGGTGGGCAAGAGGCTGGGAGGGGGCAATGCCTAGACAGATCCAAACTGACCTGACTGTTCCCTCTAATTTTACTTTTGCTAACTAAATTACTCACCTGTTTAATAGCTGTTACAGTGATGACAAATAAAAGTGGAAGTCCACTTGTAACTGGACTAGTAGGTGTATCAATAATTAACTGCAACAAAAGGAACAAATATTTTCTGGTTATATTTTTGTGAATGTAAGCAGTCAATCTTTCAAGTAAGATCTTTCAAGCAATCATTTTGCCACTCTGTTACAAGGCAGCAAGGAACTTGAATTAAGAAGAACAGCACTTCGATACAACTTTAAGAATATATACTATAGCGACAAAAATTAAAAGTTAGATGGTATAAAAAGATACAACACTGTAGTTAGATCATGTTAACATTCAGACGTTAATGTCTCACAAAAATATTGGTTTGCAAGAGTTTAAGGAAGTATTAGACTGGAAAGCTGTAGCTTTGGAGGTAAAATTATGGAGCATCGTTAGAAATTAGCACAGCACTGGCTTTACATGTTATACAATACAGCTGTTCTTATGCATGCAAAAAGTAAATCCTGGAAAACTGAGCTGCGGCTTCTGCAAACATAAACAAAGAGGTACAATTCAGAGAGGGAGTGCAAATGACAAAATCTAAATTGTCATGGGAATCCACATTACTTTTCTTTCTACAGAATCTGGTATGCAAAGTAATACAGGTTTCATTTAGTAAGATTTTTACTGTTTCGCACATTTAAGTGGTTGCAAAAGGTTCAGAATGAAGACACCTAGAAAGCAACACACTAGTTATTCATAGTACTAATTAAAAAACAAGTATTTATGTACCCCACCTAAGTAAACATCATACCAGTATCTATATTTCGATTTCTCTACAGACCCTGATGACACTACAATTGGAAAACTGATGCCAAGGAATTATTTTTATAAAATATCATGTTTTGCAAAACTAACAAAACTTTATCACCAACATAATTTATAATACTAGTTTTACTGATCTGGATGTTTAGTACAAAATAAAAATGACACTCATTCTTTTAAATTTTATCAAGACATGTCTTCCCATCAAACCAGTGATGGTATCAAACTCTCATTATATTAGATTAACATTTACAACCTGGAAATTAAATAAGACTCTTTTTGTCACATCATCAGTGTAAAGGGCTGTCCAGGCTCAACCATTTACCTTCTTAGTCATCAAAACCATATAATTTTTAAACCTTTTTAAACTCCTCTCTTTTTTAGAAAGAGTCCAGGAACTTACTGAAAAATGGAGATAGCTTACCTGAACAAGGAAAATGATGAGAAAGTAGAAGTTAGCTATTCTTCTGAATTGCTCAAACAAATTTTTTGGTACGAAGTTCCAAAATGTGTACTGAAAACAAATGCACAGATTATGAGTCTTTGTAAGAAAATTTTATTTACATTCTACGGAAAAAAAATCAAAAACTTCATAATTCACATTTCAGGATTAAATTTAAAAAAAAGAAGTATTTTTGTTAGTTTAATAATTTACTGAAATTGAATCTTAAATTGACAATCATGTATTCTCAGAATCATATCGATTTTCTGAACTGTGATAATCTTTCTACTAGGGACTGTAATAATTTCTAACTAGCAACAATGCCCATTTGGGGATTTAGTTATGGAACAGATTATTTAAAGCCATCAATTGATTTTAAAAGCATCTTAGTCACTTCAAAGAGCACTTTTAATTCACTCATATGTTGTCTGCATGACTTGAGGAGATAGGTAGCAGTCTGAGAGTTAACTACACAGTCACAGCAAGACAACCAAATAAAAGTTGTCAGCCCCTCTTCTGTTCCTTGGCTAGGGCACAAACATACTCCTTAAGATAAAACTATAGTGGTGAATAAGAGTAAATGCATATTTCTCTACTGATCTTACCAATTATCAAAAGTTTTGTAAAATGACATAAGAAACAGTATATAAAACTGCAAACAGAAAAATGCTAAAATTTCAAAGGAAAAAAAATCATATAAAAGTGAGAAAGAAAGGATCTTACACAATCTAGTCCCCTTCTCCTACCCTGCAGACGTTCACCTACACTTTTCACACAGCTCACTCTGTAGATCCAGAAAATTGTTGCAAGGATAGCTTGATAGCTTATTGGAACACATGTAAAAATGTCTGCTAAAACTGTGTGAAAAGGTCTAAAAAATGGCTTGAGAAAACTAACACTGCATAGTCTTATTATCTAAATTATCCTTTGACACGTAATAAAATGACAACTCCAATAAAACTTTCATTTCAAAGGAGATGGGTTAAGAAGCTTATCCTAATTTATTTGCTCTGCTACAAATGTGCCTTGTCTCCTCATGGCAGATTGCACTTATACTTGCTGATAACCAAATTATTCCATGAGCTAGACATCTTTTGAATTTGGCCCTGAAGGCAAAGACAGACAGAACTCCAGAAGGGAAGTACTTCTATTACATCTGCAGACAAAAAGGATCCTTGAGAAGTATCCCTTAATAGTACATGAAGCCCTACTATATAGAATAATCTTTTTACTTCTTGGGAGTTAAAGCCTGGACAAGTGTAAGACATAGGAATGAAATGTTCTTTTTATATCACGTGCCAAAAATCAGTATCTATTCTAAATATGCCTTAAGTTACCACTTATCCTGGATAAGTGGTAAAGTCACATGTGAGTAAGCCAAAACTCAGGCAGGCAGACATGCAACACCTAGAAAAATCAAATGCTCTAGTTTTGCAATCAGAACACTTTTCATCAACAGGAATGCAGCTTGCACTGCCCACTACCTGGTTATTTATCTTGGAATTTTCAAGAAGAACCAGTTAGACTTGATTATAATTCCTTGCATAACAATCCTGGTCATTCAAAACTGCTGTTGTGATAGATGAAAATACAGATTCTATTCTACAACAATAATTGTATATTTTCATCATTAACTTTATCAGGTAAATTATCTTTGTTTTCTAATTCTATCCCTTTATTTTTCAAGAATCTCCATCTGCTGAGAAAGAAAAACAAATAGAGGTTTCAGTGAAAAAATTTTTGTTAACATTCTTCTGTTTAGCTCTTTTGATAGAAGTAGTGTTTTTTATATGGTAAAGAGGTTTTTTGACTGTTAAAAGTTTGATGATTTATACAAGCTCCCCAAATCACCTTCATTAAAAAAAACCATAATCTCTTATGCAGTGGCTTCCTCTTTAAATCTCCTAAAGGGTTATTTTACTAAATGTGTGGTAACAGCATATTATTGTCAGACTAGATATTTAAAAAATGTGATGGAAGAAGTCAAGTAAACCAACTAAAACGACAATCTATAACAAGGTTGAAAGTTCACCTTTACCTAACTTAGTATCTGATCCTCCTCATATTCTAACCTCAGTTCACTGCTTTCTCTGTCAAGCTGTGGTCTTTCCCACAGCTCCACCTTTGGTCAGCAACTCTCTTAGCTGAATAAAAGTGAATAACCTGGGAACAGATTATTTTTGTGGTCTGAGAAGCAATTCCTAGAATGAATGCTCCTTTAACATGGAAGACTTGTTAAAACTTTATTTTTAAACAACCTGCCAGACTTTTAGCACTTTATTACATTGGGTTTCAGACACACAAAGTATGTCTTTACTCCACCCATTTTTCTTCAAAGGAATATTTGAAGTTTAGTCAAGAAAGAAAGACCACTAATAAGATGTCTAGCAGACTCACCCCTGCCCCAGCCATCAGTAGCTCAGAGCAGTATCTACAAATGGGTAATTAATGTTTAACAACCATAATCATTCCCCAGAGAAGCAACAGAGTGGCTGCTACTCAGAACAATATTTATGTCATGATTGCATTCAAGGCAGTTTCTCTACCCTAGTTAGGCAGGAACAAAATAAAAATCTGTAAAGGAAAGACATTAAAAATGATGATATTAAATGCATCAGATTACTGTGCCCAGAGTAAACACCATCTCTCATCTTCAGATACTAGTCTCATTCTTTGTAAAATCTGAAAAGCAGTCTATGTATATTTAACTGCCTTTTTTCACTGTAATTCACTTGAAGGATATAAGGTTATCCAAACAGTTACACACTATTTGAATAAGCTTTTAAGTTGGGGAAGGCTTCATTGATCTTCTTTAATTGCTACAATAGAGGCCACAGCACACATATGCTTTTTTGCATGCGGGAGTTAATACATCAAACAGCAAGAAGTAGCAGTTCCACATTCATCCAAGAGATGAACACATTGTGCGAACAGATGCATCTGAAGCACCGTGCAAGAAATTGTAAAATCAGTCTGTCTGGTGTCAAATCAGCATCATTCAAGTAGAGTTTCTTCCCATCTATAATTGCCATAGCACCTGCAGTGCTGGTGTACTTCTGTAATCATATGCTTGAACTACTCATGTACACCTTAACAGTATTCCAGCTTATGTCCCTGGTTTCATCTCACCAATGCACAAACTACTGATGCCATGTTGCTTTCAGCTCCAACACCTCCTTATTAGAGCCAGTCACATGAATTCAAAGATACAAAATAGTGTTCTTGACAATGGCTTGATTTTTTTAAAACACTGTACTTTGACCTTTTCATTTGATATCTACATGCCAGAATTCTGGCTCATATTTCAAGCTTCTCTTTCTGTCCTAAGAGGCAGGTATTTCCTTAAGTAAATGGAGAGTTTCTTAAGTAATCACTTGACATCAAAAGCTGGAGCAGTAAGATAAAGCACTCCATACTGCACTACTGAGTTCTGTCAACACCTCAGTTTCTTACACATTATTTGTTTTAAATAGTCAACACCTCTCTTCCAACCCATTCTGATTTCACTCACTTCCCCTCAATCTTTTTGACTATTTCATATAAACCCTTAAAACTATTATGACAAAAACATCTACTATGTTGCTTCACCCTGGTTTACATACATTTTCCTAAGCTGATTTTCATCCCTTCTGCAAAACAGAATCCATCCTGAAGACAGTAAATTCAGGGAAGTATAGAGAAAAGTTGAACAATAATTTTGCATTCACTTGTGTCCATAGTGACTTCAGTATTTTTAATATATGGATTTTTATAGTATCCATCAGTTACCAAGAAACACTGCATTCTTAAAGCTGCAGTTTAAAAACTAGATTGCAGGCATGTGTGTCTATCATAGAATGGTTTGGGTGGAAAGGGATCTTCAAAAGACCATCTAGTTCCAACCTGCCTGCCATGGGCAGGCACACGTTCCACTAGACCAGGTTGCTCCAAGCCGCGGCCAATCTGGCCTTGAATGCTTCCACAGATGTATTATCCACAGCCTCTCTGGGCCACCTCTTCCAGTGCCTCACCACACTCACAGTAAAGAATTTCTTCCTAATATTCAACCTAAACCAACTGTCTTTCAGTTTAAAGCCCATTCCCCCTTGTTTTATCATTAAATGCCCTAGTAGAAAGTCCCTCTTCATCTTTCTTGCAGGCCTCTTTTAAGTACTGGACACAACACTCTCTACATAATACCACCTTACATAGTATTATGCTATTAAAACAACATAAGCATTTAATATATTACATAGATATAATCATCCCCCTTCAACAGAATAGTTGAAAAAGGTCTGATCGAAAGTTTGACAATTTCCTTTAAATTAGTTTTATTTATAAAATGATTACTTTTTTGAAACACACTTTGTCTAACTCTATCACAGAACTGGCAAATCAAACTGTAGCAAAGGGTATGAAAGTGTAGGAAGTCAATAATCATCTGAAATCATAAGATCCGAGCTGAGAGCATGGCTTGTCTAACTCAAGTGACTTGCTTATAAACATATAGGAAGTCTGTAGAAGAACTGATCTAAATTCTTTAATGTATTAACTCAGTATCAAGTCTTTCACTTGAGGCAAAAAACTTCAGACTTCTGTGTTTATATGCTACTCAATAAAATTGGAATATTTTGAAAAATACTTTGCAATATTTATGGCAATTTGAAATGACTGTAGAAGGACAATTAACAATATTGTTAACGACAGTATTAACATACGTGTCATCTGCACAATGTTTATCACCCCACTGAGGGAGGGACCCCTCTTTCTCCAAATCACAAGGTTGTTCACATCACAGGGATCCCTGGGGAAGCTCTGCTACATGTAGGGCTTTTACAAGTGAATTAGAGCCACCAGTACATTCAGAGAAAGTGCAAAAATAAAACTGGTTCAGGGCAGTTAGATCAAATGGTGCCTACACATTTGAGGAACAAGCATACATATTTTGGTATAGGGTTTCTTAAAAACTGTTGCTAATAAAAAAGGAATTCTATTAAAACAAAGAAGCCTATCTTTAGTCATCCTTGTTTAGCAACTCTCAATCTTATAATACAAGCTATTAATTCCAGGAACTCCTCTGACAAGGACACTCC